GGTGGGGGTGGGGGGCAGTGCAAATAGTCAGGGTAGCCATGATTAGCTGTTCAGGAGTCTTATGGCTTGGGGGTAGAAGCTGTTGAGAAGCCTTTTGGACCTAGACTTGGCGCTCTGGTACCGCTTGCCGTGCGGTAGCAGAGAGAACAGTCTATGACTAGGGTGGCTGGAGCCTTTGACAATTTTGAGGGCCTTCCTCTGACACTGCCTGGTATAGAGGTCCTGGATGGCAGGAAGCTTGGCCCCAGTGATGTACTGGGCCGTACGCACTACCCTCTGTATGGCACCCTATTCCCTATATAGTGCACTACTTTTGACCAAGGCCCATAGAGCTCTGATCAAAAGTAGTGCACTACTTAGCAAATAGGGTGCCACCTTAGACTGGGCTGTGAGGCATCACAGGGGGATGTACAGTGGAGGGAACCATTGAGGTTATCTGAGCTGAGACATGCCAGGCCTGGATCTAGCAGACATTCTGCTATCCTCCTGTAGGAATAGTGAAGGGAGACACTAGACAGTCAGAAGAAAGACAATTTTTCCACATATATTTTGTTTACTGGTTTTGAGGGAGACAATAATAAGCAGTCATGTTACACAGTCCTTCAGTTGAGGTGCAAATGGCACCCTATTCCTACAGTGCTGCACTACTTTTGACCAGAGCCCTATAGGGAATAGGGTGCCATTTGGGACACAAACTCTAACCTCTTTGTTCCCTGTGGTTACAAGACAAAATTCACAAACAATCAATGCTCCAACAAAACAGAAAACAAAGTTCCATAAGCCAATCAGTGTGCCTGCACTCACAAAGATCCTCCCATTCAGTTCTGCCAGGTCACATTGAACCAGATATGAAACAACAGATTAAGAGGAAATATTCAGAGAGAGGATATGTTCAGACCAGTGATGTAGAGTTAAAACAAATAGGTGGGTAAACTCTGATTGGCAGTCGCAGTGAAAAAAGTAATGCTCCCTATACGTTCAATGCATTTTTCAGCAAAAGGTGGCTAAACTGTTGAGCAAAATAAAAAAGGTAGGTAAACTGCATTTACACTCCGCTACCCCACTGGTTTAGACAGGCAAGGATTTCTGAAGAGTGAGCACATCTGAAATCTTCACTATGGGTGCGTCCCAAATGGCACCTTATTCCCTACATAGTGCATTACTTTTGACCAGGGCCGATTAGAGACCCAACCTTTGTTGCTGGGCCAAGTCCTATGTCCTTTGCTGCTCAGTAGTATACAGTGCATTCGGAAAGTATTCAGACCCCTTGACTTTTCCACATTTTGTTACGTTACAGCCTTATTCTAAAATTGATTAAATTGTTTTTCCCCCTCATCTATGTACACACAATACCCCATAATTGTCATGGTTCCACCTGTCACCAGAGGGCGGCAGAGACCGTCCTAGAGACATTAATGACACTCAGGTGTGTCCTATTACTCATGATGATTTCCCTGTTAAGAGAGGTGTGTTTTATGTTGTCCTTTGCAGAAGCTTGATTTGTTTGCCATGTGCGTTTGTCTCCTGAGTGAGTTTGAGACGTAGTGTTTGTTCTTTTCCCAGTGTTACTGTGATCCTTCTGTTACCGTTTCTCAGTAAAGTATTTACGTTTATCCTAAACCACTGATTCCTCGTCTGGTCTCTTCTCTGCTCCTGGGTCCAACCTCATCACATCACAGTAATGACAAAGCAAAAACATGTTTTTTGAAATGTTTGCAAATGTATTCAGACCCTTTACTCAGTACCTTGTTGAAGCACCTTTGGCAGCGATTACAGCCTCAAGTCTTCTTGGGTATGATGCTACAAGCTTGGCACACCTGTATTTGGGGAGTTTCTCCCATTCTTCTCTGCAGAGCCTCTCAAGCTCTGTCAGGTTGGATGGGGAGCGTCGCTGCACAGCTATTTTCAGGTCTATCCAGAGATGTTCGATCAGGTTGTCTTGGCTGTGTGCTTAGGGTTGTTGTCCTGTTGGAAGGTGAACCTTCGCCTCAGTCTGAGGTCCTGAGCGCTCTGGAGCAGGTTTTCATCAAGGATCTCTCTGTACTTTGCACCGTTCATCTTTCCCTCGAACCTGACTAGTCTCTCAGTACCTGCCGCTGAAAACATCCCCACAGCATGATGCTGCCACCACCATGCTTCACCGTAGATATGGTGCCAGGTTTCCTCCAGACGTGACGCTTGGCATTCAGGCCAAAGAGTTCAATCTTGGTTTCAACAGACCAGAGAATCTTGGTTTTTGCTCTGATATGCACTGTCAAGTGTGCCTTTCCAAATCATGTCCAATCAATTGAATTTACCACAGGTGGACTCCAATCAAGTTGTAGAAACATCTAAAGGATGATCAATGGAAACAGGATGCACCTGAGATCAATTTCGAGTCTCATAGCAAAGGGTCTGAATATTTATGTAAATAAGGTATTTCTGTTTTGTATTTTTAATAAATTAGCAAACATTTCTAAAAACCTGTTTTTGCTTTGTCATTATGGGGTATTGTGTGTAGATTGATGAGGAAATGTGGAGAAAAGGAAGGGGTCTGAATACTTTCCGAATGCACTGTATAAGTGACAGAACTCTGGGAACATTACATTTGCCTGTGGCACATCTTCCATTTGCCAGGTTGTGAACTTTTATGTTTCTGTGTTACCACTCCGCAAGGGACTTCCATGTTGCACTGCAGAACAACTCAAGGATGTTTCCAAAATAACACAATTTATGGCTACAAACTAAACTGCCAAGTGCAGACATTAAATCTTGCAGGCTACTTTTTGAATGTCTTTAGTTACTCTACAGTCTTATCTGCCAATGTTCATGTGCTGGAAGCAAGCTACACTAAATGACCAAAAGTATGTGGACACTCGTCGAACATCTCATTCCAAAATCATGGGCATTCATATGGAATTGGTCCCCCCTTTGCTGCTATAACAGCCTCCAGTCTTCTGGGAAGGCTTTCCACTAGATGTTGGAACATTGCTGCGGGGACTTGCTTCCATTCAGTCACAAGAGCATTAGTGAGGTCGGGCACTGATGTTGGGCGATTAGGCCTGGCTCGCAGTCGGTGTTCCAATTCATCCCAAAAGTGTTAAATGGGGTTGAGGCCAGTCAATCCTTCCACACCGATTTCGACAAACCACGCTTGGCATTGCGCATGGTGATCTTAGGCTTGTGTGCGGCTGCTCGGCCATGGAAACCCATTTCATGAAGCTCCCGACGAACAGTTATTGTGCTGACGTTGCTTCCAGAGGCAGTTTGGAACTTGGTAGTGAGTGTTGCAACCGAGGACAGATTATTTTTATGCACTACGCGCTTCAGCAATCGGCGGTCCCATTCTGTGAGCTTGTGTGGCCTACCACTGCGCGGCTGAGCCGTTGTTGCTCCTAGACATTTCCACTTCACAGTAACAACCCTTACAGTTGACCAGGGCAGCTCTAGCAGGGCAGAAATTTGACAAACTGACTTGTTGGAAAGGTGGCATCCTATGACAGTGCCATGTTGAAAGTCAATGAGCTCTTCAGTAAGGCCATTCTACTGCAAATGTTTGACTATGGAGATTGCATGGCAGTGTGCTGATTTTATACTCCTGTCAGCAACGGGTGTGGCTGAAATAGCCAAATCCACTCATTTGAAGGGGTGTCCACATACTTTTGTATATTTAGTGTATCTTTCAACCTGGTGCTGCAAAAATATCTTCATAAAATGTGTTATGCTAAAATGTGGTGTCCTTGTTCTGTACTTTCCCTTCACAGAGCCAATGACTGCCTGTCTTTCTCTAGTACAGCAGCATTACGACTGAAATGTCTGACATGACGGTTCTCATTGAAAATGTGATGGAGTGAAATAGGTTTCAAGACAGCACGAAATGCCAATACCCATGTTCAACTGAATGTGCCATCTTCCCTTTCTGTTTGTGAATGTGAAGTGAATAGGGCTTAGGATGCCTTCTGGCCAATACGACCAAGGTGTAATGGGGTGCTCTTCTCATTATGAATACAGTGTAAATTAAAACTGTCTCGTAGAGTACAAATCACAACAAGATGCCCTACATAGCTAGGGATAACGTGTCCCTTTTTACAGTTGGACTTTTGCCTATGTAGATACATTGAAACAATGCACTATTTATTTAGACTATAAATAAGAATGTCGCACAAATCCATTGAGAAACTGGAAGAAGCTTGGGATGGTGGGGGTGGAGGATGGCTTGGGGGGGTTCAATAATGAATATGGAAAGTATGCATTGGAACCTAATTGGTTCATGGCCATTCATCATAATCTTGGGACTTTTTTTGGGGAACAGCTCTATGATATTTCCCTCATGCTTAAAAACTGACCGGTAGGGGGTATTTTTGCATGCGCTACAGACGGCTACATCGGTCCTCTAATACAGGCCCAGTGCACTACTTTTGTGGGGGGAGAAATATCAAAAAATAAAATACAAATATATCTATTTTTTAATCCAGATTTTTCAGGGGGTGCTGCAGCACCCTCAGCACCCCTACTTCCCGCGGCTATGGGTCTACAGGTCTATAATCTCTACAGACTATAACTGTACTGTGAAGAGGTAAAGAAAATGCTTCTTTATGGTAATCTTGTTCTGCTCTTTTACCCCTCAGGTGGAAGCAGTTGGATGTATTAACATTTTTCAATAGTGTTAGGGTGATATTATTAGATCAGAGAGGCTGTAAGAGAGAGGGGACTTTCCAAAGTGATTGTGAGTGACAGAAACCCCAGTGGAGGGAGTACCTGAGAATACCCTGGTTTTAGGTTTCTGCTTTTAAACTATTAATAACTATAGCTGGAAATAGACCAACCCTAGTCGAGAAATTTACCAGCCACTTTCCCCTTGCCACTGTCAGCATTCTCTTATACATCACTGTCCCCTGGTGGACAAAAGTATAATTTTAGCGTTTTCAGTCAACCCAGTACGTCGCCGCTGCTGTAGAGGGCAGAAGTACCGTTTTTTGCAGTTGTGTGTACTGTGTACAATACCTTGAAGGAAGAAACACCCCGGCTGAGGAAAATGGCCGATGTAGAGATGGATATCGCGTCTAGCAGAATGAATAACGGGAACGAGCACGTGTAAGACATTTTAGAAGATTAGACAGTCATGCAACTTATTTCTAGTACTTTCACCGGATTCAGTGCTTTTGGCAAGTCGACGTTGTCGTCGGTGTATCTGTGTTCTGCAGCGTTGAAACAATATCGGGCTAGCTATCTAGAGCTAGCCTGCTAACTCTTTAGCTATCACAGTGTTCGAAAGGGTTTGCTGACATGTTTAAATGTTTTCTATAGCTAAACCATACCATAAACCAATCAAACCATAGTGTCATAACATGCGACTTAACATTCTAGTTAACTCGCTAACTATCTGGCTAGCAATGCCTATTGCATAAGTAGTTAAGAAGCTAACGTAGCAAGCTAGCCATTGTTTGCTACAGTAGCAAGCTAGCGCGTTAGTTAGCGGTCAACTAAGTAGCTAGCTGACTTGGCGGTCAAGTCGGGAAGTAAGGATAGCTAGCTAGCTAGCCAGCTAGCACGTTAAAGCTTTGTTTGCTGTGTTGTTAAGTCATGTTTTGGACAATTCATGTTGTAGCTAGCCACGTTTTTAAAAAATGGTTTGGTTTAAATTATATTTTACCAATCTTTGTACCTTAGGAAAGAAGATTTGGAGAGCCATGACAAGAGTGGGAGTGAGGAGGAGAGTGGTGATAATTCAGAAGAAGAGCGGGAGGAGAAAGAGGTCGGAGAGGGGGAAGCTGAAACTAACGGAGAAAAGACAGCAAAGGTGTCCAAACATCACAGCAGTGGCAGCAAACACAAGAAGAAGAAACACAAACACCGCAGCAAGCACAAAAAACACAAGCACACGTCCGAAGAGGACAAGGACCGAAAGCGCAAACATCGACACAAACACAAGAAACACAAACGTAAAGATGGCTCCTCTTCATCCGCCCCTGGCATCAACAGCGCCTCCAGCCAGAGAAAGACTCACATCTCCCCTTCATCTGACGACAAGGCCTTATTGGAGGAGTTGGAGAAACAGAGGGCCATGATTAAAGCCGAGCTGGACAGCCAGGTGATGGAGGGGGGCAAGGTGCAATCCGGCATGGGCCTCATCCTACAGGGTTATAACTCTGGCTCTGAAGAGGGAGACGGAGAGGGCAGGGTCCGGAACGGGGAGCAGCGTCCGAGGGGCAGCATGGGGAAACCCCCTTCCCCCAGGGGTAGGAGTGGTAAAGCCAGACGGGACTCCACAGAAGCCGGCAAGTCCAGCTCTAAGCGCCACAGTCGGAGCAAGTCCAAGGAGAGGACAGGCAAGGAATCCAAGTCGGACAAAACAACCAAAGGCAGCAAAGACGTGGCCGCCAAAGGCCGTGGCCGCAGCAAATCAAAAGAGAGGAAACGTTCCCAGAGCGGGGGCAGGTCCAAAGAGAGAAACAAGAAGTCTCCTTCCCCTGCCAGCAGGAGAGCAGAGCAGAGGGGTGGCCGCTCGGACAAACGCTCTTCGCCCCAGCCTAACGACAGATCAAACACGGAGCATGGCGGTCGGAGGTCCAGATCACGGGAGCGTCCAGGTCGGTCGGAGTCAGAAAGAGAGCGGGACAAGAGGCCGACCAAGTCCCCTTCCAAGGATGCTTCATCAGGGAAAGAGAACCGCTCTCCCCACAGGCGAGGAGGAGGAGTGCCCATTAGCCCCCAGAGGAGACGCAGCGCCTCCCCACGCCCCACCAGAGACTCCCAACAGGCATCCGCTTCAGCCTCCACCTCCAAACAGGGCTCTCCTTCCAGAGCAGCCAGGTCCCCAGCAAGGAGAGGCCGCAGTCGCTCCCCAGATGCCAGGAGGAGGGATGCTGACCGACAGGGCTCCTCACCACTCCGGTCCGTTTACTATGCATTAACCTGCAGTCCACCCCCTATTTCCACCCCTTTTATTGTCCCATACTGAACAACGGTAGTGGTCTGTACATGGCATGGGCAACTATTTGAGGGCACATACTTAACGTTTTAGGATGGGGCATTAAGAATGTGCTGCTATCCACCACTGATGTTCTAAACTTTATTCTCTCTCCCACAGAAAGCGAATACGCCCAGAAGCAGGGCCAGGGGGTAGAGCGAGGTCACGGGAGACCAGCCCCAGAGGTGCTCCCCAACGTCGCAGGATGAGCCGCTCACCCTTCAGAAGAAGGTCCCCCTCGCCCTTCCGGAGACGGAGCAGGTCTCCAATGAGACGCAGGTGAGACGGGACTAGCTGAAACTTGAGTGGATGTGCTGGGCCAAATGGAATCTGCAGGGGCTTCCTCAAGCCTCCAGAAATTAAGATGATGCCTGTAAATAATTACTTTTGCAACAGCTATTGGGGATCCTAATAAAATACCAAGTAGTAATAGTATAATACTGTATTACTTTTACAGATACTGGACCTGTATATAGCTAGTTACAATTATTGTCATTAAATAGGCAGGCAATGCTGTCATGGTAGTGATAAGATTGGTTCCTTACAGATTCTGTCTGGTTCTAGTTTATGAAGCTTTGGTGATGTCAGAGTATGAGGCTCATAGGCCAAGGTTGTCTAAGTATTTCCTTTGTTGTGCGCTGCAGGTCGCCGGAGAGGGACAGATACGGCCGTCTCCGACAGTACGGACGGCGCTCCAACTCCCGTGACCGGGACAGGAGGAGGAGACATGGCCGGGACGAGGACAAGTTCAAGGGCAGCCTCTCTGAGGGCATGAAGGCCGACAAGGAGTCCTCCGAGGAGGAAGTGTGAGTAGAGGGTGAACACTCACACACAGACAAATGCTACACTGCAATATGGTAATTCTCTGGGTGATTGTGTGTTTTTGTAAGTGGGTTTATTTTGTTACCAGGCTTGAGGACTTTGACGGTGAGGAGGTGGATGAAGAGGCCATTATAGAGCAGCGCCGGCAGCAGCGCCTGGCTATCGTCCAGGTCAGTTCCCCGTCCCTCATCCAGGGCTCCAGACTAAAATTTTCCCCTGGTGGCACTGGTGCCACAAACATTTTCAGTTGGTGGCACCAGCCCATGATTTGGTCGCACCCAAAATAAATTGTGGCTTCACGCAATAGAAAAAATAAGTAATCACTTATAAAGTAATTCACAGTGCTTTATTAAGAGGTGTAATAGACTACTAAGACGGTATTGGAGAAATAAGTTGTTTCATCTAACACGTCCATGCAGGAATGCATGATTCAAGATATTTTGATGTGCAACCTAATCCAGTGATTTTCATGAGTTATATATTTTACTGTTAAAACAGGGCTCCAGAATTGTATTTTGTTCAATAGAGATGAATTTGACTACATCTTTATGTGCACTAAATATCATAGGCTAATTTATTTGGTTTTAATTGACCACTTGAGTAAGTGGAAACTCAAATGCATTAGCTAGATTGCTAACTCTAAACATAATGGGTGTCCACAGGTCCTTAAAAATGTGTAGTCTTCAATTAATTTCTCATTTACAGGCCTTAAGTTTTAAAATGTCTTAAATTCAGTTTGCAAAGGTCTTAAAAAATGCAACGGCGATGACTACAGTGTTTCCGTTATATTGTGCCGGCGCTGCTTAATTGTTGCCACCGCGGCAGAAAAAACATCAAATACTACTCGAGACACACTTTCAAGATTTTCAAGAGCTATCCATCCATGTGCACCTCTGTGTATGCACATTAGGGCTGACCCCATTTAGTTGACTGTTTGGTCGATAGGCTGTTGGTCGACATAATTTTTTTGTTGAGCAGTTGCACACAACAACACAAAAGTTTTATGGCACGTGTTGATTGATGCATGTCTCAGTGTACTAATCCATTGCGGAGGCCATGGGGTTGGCTCACCAGTAGTACATTTATTGTTAATTCCCATCATTTTTAATCTACAACGTTTGTTTGGTTACAGTAATTACAGTTCTTGTTGTCGGAGTGGACACGTTGTTTGCAGAGTGCACAACCTAGGTTACACTTGTGAGAAACGAGTTTTGGTTTATTTGATTCCATTTACGAGTTGTCAATTTATTCATTGTGTTTTGTTTGGAGCGCTCCTGTCAGTGTTGAGTAAGGACACGCACCTGATTACGCATAGAAGTAGGCCTAGGCTACCTGGCCTGCGCGCAAATATAGGCTTATAAATGTGCCCATTTGTGGATCTGATAGTATTTCTGATTGGCTTAACTCACCACCACTAATGAGATGTGGAGCTTCTCAAAGTAATTATTTATTCACCTCAAACAGCAAGTAAACAAAGTATGTTGTGCATCCATTGAGAATGACAATAGTTCCTCAATGTAGCCTATTAGAAAAATCTTTCCAGCTCTCTCCCTTTCGATAACCACTCGGCGTGAAAGTTTTTTAATAATCATGCTCTGATCCGGTGGAAACATCATAAAATAGGCCTACCTGATTACTTCTTATCCCTTGCGCGAATAGCCTACAGCTATGTGGTTCGGGAAACTCTGAAGGTCCAGAATATTTTATACAATGTTGCAAGTTTGTTATTGCAAGCTTGGGGCTGGACCTGGTTGATACAATGTTTCAAGTTCCTTGCAGACAGGCCATACATAGCCAATGTGATTTATTTTTATCAGGATATGTTCTACCTGAAGGCTGCAATGTTTTTATTTGTTGGCTTTATGTAGGCTATTTTTACATAGATGGCAATAGAAGTTACTTTTAGATTTGTATAATTTTGATTTAGATCATGATTTTCATGACAATGATTTTGAGATACGACAACTTTATTATAAAATAAATGAAACTGTTCCACGAAAATGTGCATATGAAAATCATAACTGGCACGCAGATTGGTATAAATGGTAAGATAAATTGGCACTCCAAATGGAAAAGGTTGCCGATCCCTGGTGTAGCCTATTACTGGCAACTTCGGGAGTGTAATGGCAGAATCTGCAAAGGCCCGGAGCAGTGGGAGGAGGTGGTTCGGGACAGATTTCTTTATTCTGGTTAGGCTATCTTGATCTCTGGCTCTCTTGAGTCATTTGTGTCTTCATTATTTAATCACAGTGTGCTTAAAACGTAAGACAAGCTTAGTAGCCTACATATAGTTGATTTTATTAAAACACATAGGGTGTGTGTATATATGGAAAAATACACATTTTAGAATTTCAACCAGTCGATTGGTCGAAAGAACAGATGACTCTTGGTCGACCAAGATTCATTTTAGTCGGGGACAGCCCTAGTGCACATCATGTGCTTGTGACAGTGCGAGTCAGCCCGTTACCAATTTGATAGACAACAACACTAACTGGGGCGATAAACCGAAAGTGACAGACACCGCTCCTGACGATTTTCTGGGTTCTAAAACCATTATTTGGTCAACAGTATTGTGCATTAACTTGCTTCCTGCAATGAAAGTATCTGCCCTGTCCCTGTTTTGCTGCTGGCTCTCATTCCCACTCCCCCCTTTGCACACGGAGTGAAGGGAGAGATGCATTCTGATAAGCGCAACCATACTGACAGTTGAGCAACATTACGAAATGTAGGCTAAATCTAATTTTATTTGTCACATGCGCCGAATACAACAGGTGTGGACTTTACCGTGAAATGCTTACTTACGAGCCCATTCCCAACAATGCAGAGTTAAAAAGTAAGAAAAATATGCTAAAAATAAATAAATATAGTAACAATAAAATAACGAGGCTATATGCAAGGAGTACATGTAAAAATGTTATAAATTGATTTGCATTTTAATGAGGGAAATAAGTATTTGACCCCCTCTCAATCAGAAAGATTTCTGGCTCCCAGGTGTCTTTTATATAGGTAACGAGCTGAGATTAGGAGCACACTCTTAAAGGGAGTGCTCCTAATCTCAGCTTGTTACCTGTATAAAAGACACCTGTCCACAGAAGCAATCAATCAGATTCCAAACTCTCCACCATGGCCAAGACCAAAGAGCTCTCCAAGGATGTCAGGGACAAGATTGTAGACCTACACAAGGCTGGAATGGGCTACAAGACCATCGCCAAGCAGCTTGGTGAGAAGGTGACAACAGTTGGTGCGATTATTCGCAAATGGAAGAAACACAAAATAACTGTCAATCTCCCTCGGCCTGGGGCTCCATGCAAGATCTCACCTCGTGGAGTTGCAATGATCATGAGAACGGTGAGGAATCAGCCCAGAACTACACGGGAGGATCTTGTCAATGATCTCAAGGCAGCTGGGACCATAGTCACCAAGAAAACAATTGGTAACACACTAAGCCGTGAAGGACTGAAATCCTGCAGCGCCCGCAAGGTCCCCCTGCTCAAGAAAGCACATATACATGCCTGTCTGAAGTTTGCCAATGAACATCTGAATGATTCAGAGGAGAACTGGGTGAAAGTGTTGTGGTCAGATGAGACCAAAATGGAGCTCTTTGGCATCAAAATTCTGAACACTTAGTGTTTTTTTATCTAGCTAATGATTAGCCCTTTGTGGTAGCCTAAACAAATGCAGATGGGCAACCCCATGCTTCAGTCATATATAGCCTAGCCACTATACTACTACACACGTTCGGCCCCAGGAGAATGCTCAATGTTAAAATAGCACACCTGCCTGCTAATATGAGCCATGTAGGCTATAGACTTGGGAAAATACGAATTTTTGGAGAGGAATATTAGCAGGTGTGTGGCGCGCGCAGACCTCAAAATTGGTATGAAATGGCATTCCAAGTGGCATTAAAGGTCGTCTTAAATTAAACTTCATGGAACCTGCAGATACCCTGATTAATCTAATCTCTACAGGAAAATATGACGTTTGGAGTGAGGTGACCGTGTAGAATGAGTAGCTCACATAGATGCGACCAAATACAAGTTGTTCAGCCAAGTCAACAGGTCGCAAAATGAGACTAAATGGTTGAAGTCTGGAGCCCTGCTCATCACATGTGCTGTTGAACTGTCCATAGCTGTTGCAGGGATCCCCAGCCCAGTATTTAATATTTGGCTACTACTCCAAGATAGGACGTTTTCTGATTTGCCTTTTCATTATTGAAATTGACCCACTTTGAAACCAATATCTTATTTTTCCTTACTTACATTGTTGTGACCACTCTATGCCTGACACTTCCTCTCTCTCTCCCTGTGCAGAAATACCGTGGCGGCAACGAGGACAGCATGGCGTCCATGGCGTCGGAGCCCAGCAGCCCCCAGAGCAGCACACGGAGCCGCTCACCCTCGCCAGACGACGTCCTGGAGCGCGTGGCGGCCGACGTCAAGGAGTACGAGCTGGAGAACCTGGACACGTTTGAGGAGAACATCAAGGCCAAGCAAGGCCTCATCACGCAGGAGAAGGACGGTGAGTTAAAGGGATTCAGTCAGGGAGAAAAGAAAGTAGTGCACTATATACGGAATAGGGTGCCATTTGGTCTGCTCTGTATTGTCGTCTCAAGATATTCCATAGCTCATGATATGCAATGTACAATCTGGGTGGGTCAACTTGGTGATTAGGTTTTTATGTATTTTTATTTAATTTTGAAGTTTACAGGTGTTCTTTCTTAACACAGGTTGTTTGCTGTATGTGCCCGCATTAGCTGTAACTGTGGCCATGTCTAGACTTAACAGTTCATACAGCTTCAGTATTCTGATCATAGAGTTCTGATCATGGAATTCCGAATGCGTCATGCATCTACAACTATATTTAAATGTGCCTACCGTGTCCACAGTGTGTCCAGATTCCCTTTTCCCGCGCTATATTCAAATGCCAGTATGCATTCTACAAACAGTGGAATAGGCTATATAGGATAACACAACAAAAACTGATGGCAGTAGCTAACTACTGTAACCTCTAGCTAGCTAGCAAGCAACGCTAAAGGGATTGCAAATGGGTTAGCATAACTCTAGCCAAACATAAAAAAAAAAAAGATATACAGTGGGGAGAACAAGTATTTGATACACTGCAGATTTTGCAGGTTTTCCTACTTACAAAGCATGTAGAGGTCTGTAATTTTTATCATAGGTACACTTCAACTGTGAGAGACAGAATCTAAAACAAAAATCCAGAAAATCACATTGTATGATTTTTAAGTAATTAATTTGCATTTTATTGCATGACATAAGTATTTGATCACCTACCAACCAGTAAGAATTCCGGCTCTCACAGACCTGTTAGTTTTTCTTTAAGAAGCCTCCTGTTCTCCACTCATTACCTGTATTAACTGCACCTGTTTGAACTCGTTACCTGTATAAAAGACACCTGTCCACACACTCAATCAAACAGACTCCAACCTCTCCACAATGGCCAAGACCAGAGAGCTGTGTAAGGACATAAGGGATAAAATTGTAAACCTGCAGAAGGCTGGGATGGGCTACAGGACAATAGGCAAGCAGCTTGGTGAGAAGGCAACAACTGTTGGCACAATTATTAGAAAATGGAAGAAGTTCAAGATGATGGTCAATCACCCTCGGTCTGGGGCTCCATGCAAGATCTCACCTCGTGGGGCATCAATGATCATGAGGAAGGTGAGGGATCAGCCCAGAACTACACGGCAGGACCTGGTCAATGACCTGAAGAGAGCTGGGACCACAGTCTCAAAGAAAACCATTAGTAACACACTACGCCGTCATGGATTAAAATCCTACAGCACACGCAAGGTCCCCCTGCTCAAGCCAGCGCATGTCCAGGCCTGTCTGAAGTTTGCCAATGACCATCTGGATGATCCAGAGGAGGAATGGAAGAAGGTCATGTGGTCTGATGAGACAAAAATAGAGCTTTTTGGTCTAAACTCCACTCGCCGTGTTTGGAGGAAGAAGAAGGATGAGTACAACCCCAAGAACACCATCCCAACCGTGAAGCATGGAGGTGGAAACATCATTCTTTGGGGATGCTTTTCTGCAAAGGGGACAGGACGACTGCACCGTATTGAGGGGAGGATGGATGGGGCCATGTATCGCGAGATCTTGGCCAACAACCTCCTTCCCTCAGTAAGAGCATTGAAGATTGGTCGTGGCTGGGTCTTCCAGCATGACAACGACCCGAAACACACAGCCAGGGCAACTAAGGAGTGGCTCCGTAAGAAGCATCTCAAGGTCCTGGAGTGGCCTAGCCAGTCTCCAGACCTGAACCCAATAGAAAATCTTTGGAGGGAGCTGAAAGTCCGTATTGCCCAGCGACAGCCCCGAAACCTGAAGGATCTGGAGAAGGTCTGTATGGAGGAGTGGGCCAAAAATCCCTGCTGCAGTGTGTGTAAACATGGTCAAGACCTACAGGAAACGTATGATCTCTGTAACAAAGGTTTCTGTACCAAATATTAAGTTCTGCTTTTCTGATGTATCAAATACTTATGGCATGCAATAAAATGCAAATTAATCAGTTAAAAATCATACAATTTGATTTTCCGGATTTTTGTTTTAGATTCTCTCTCACAGTTGAAGTGTACCTATGATAAAAATTACAGACCTCTACATGCTTTGTAAGTAGGAAAACCTGCAAGATCGGCAGTGTATCAAATACTTGTTCTCCCCACTGTGTGTGTGTGTGTATATATATATATATATATATATATATATATATATATATATATATATATATATATATATATATATATATTATTTATTAACTAGCTGGCTAGCATTTGAGGCAGCAAACACGTTCCTCACACGCTAGGAAAATGTTTCCTCAAATGTTATAATGAAAAGCACAAGTTTTCTGGAGACTTGTGGGAGAAGTGCTGATGACGTTGCCCACTGTATGCGCTTTCGGTAGCCTGATTGCATCCAGGCTGAGGAGAAATCTACACACAATGCATCCCCTTGTTGTGAAATTGTTAGATATTACTTGTTAGATATTACTGCACTGTCGGAGCTAGAAGCACAAGCATTTCGCTACACCTGCAATAACATCTGCTAAACACATGTATGTGACCAATAAAATATGATTTGATTTGACCACCGCCTAAAGTGGTCAGCCAGATCTGAACACAATCGGACCACAAAGTGACTTTTGTGCATCTAGACCAGTCTTTTCAATGCGATCTTCGCATTCTGATAGCTGAAGTCACATGTACAGTGCATTCGGAAAGTATTCAGACCCCTTGACTTTTTCCACATTTTGTTACGTTACAGCTTTATTCTAAAATTGATTAAATATTTTTTCCCATCATCTAAACACAATACCCCATAATGACAAAGCGAAAACTAAAATATCTAATTTACATAAGTATTCAGACCATTTACTCAGTACTTTGTAGATGCACCTTTGGCAGCAATTACAGCCTCAAGTCTTCTTGGGTATACGGTACAAGCTTGGCACACCTGTATTTGGGGTGTTTCTCCCATTCTTCTCTGCAGATCCTCTCAAGCTCTGTCAGGTTGGATGGGGAGTGTCGCTGCACAGCTATTTTCAGGTCTCTCCAGGGATGTTAGATCGGGTTCAGGTCCGGGCTCTGGCTGGGCCACTCAAGGACATTCAGAGACTTGTCCCAAAGCCACTCCTGCGTTGTCTTGGCTGTGTGCTTAGGGTCGTTGTCCTGTTGGAAGGTGAACCTTCACCGCAGTCTGAGGTCCTGAGCGCTCTGGAGCAGGTTTTCATCAAGAATCTCTCTGTACTTTGCTCTGTTCATCTTTCCCTCGATCCTGACTAGTCTCTCAGTCCCTGCCACTGAAAAACATCCCCACAGCATGATGCTGCCACCGCCAAGCTTCACCATAGGGATGGTGCCAGGTTTCTTCCAGACGTGATGCCTGGCATTCAGGCGAAAGAGTTAGATCTTGGTTTCATCAGACCAGAGAATCTTGTTTTTCACGGTCAGAGTCCTTTAGGTGCCTTTTGGCAAACTCTAAGCGGGCTGTCATGTGCCTTTTTACTGAGAAGTGGCTTCCATCTGGCCACTGTACCATAAAGGCCTGATTGTTGGAGTGATGTAGAGATGGTTGTCCTTCTGGAAGGTTCTCCTTTCTCCACAGAGGAACTTTGGAGCTCTGTCAGAGTGACTTTCGGGTTCTTGGTCACCTCCCTGACCATGGCCCTTCTCCCCGATTGCTCAGTTTGGCCAGGCGGCCAGCTCTAGGAAGAGTCTTGGTGGTTCCAGACTTCATCCATTTAAGAATGCTGGAGGCCACTGTGTTCTTGGGGACCTTCAATGCTGTAGAAATGTTTTGGTACCCTTCCCCAGATCTGTGCCTTGACACAATCCTGTCTCGGAGCTCTATGGACAATTCCTTCGACCTCATGGCTTGGTTTGTGCTCTGATATGCACTGTCAACTGTGGGACCTTATATAGACAGGTGTGTGCCTTTCCAAATCATGTCCAATCAATTGAATTTACCACAGGTGGACTCCAATCAAGTTGTAGAAACATCTCAAGGATGATCAATGGAAACAGGATGCACCTGAGATCAATTTCGAGTATCATAGCAAAGGGTCTGAATACTTATGTAAAAAAGGTATTTCCATTTTTTTATTTTGTATACATTTGCAAAAAATTCAAGAAACCTGTTTTTGCTTTGTCATTATGGGGTATTGTGTGTAGATTGAGGGGGGGGGGGATGATCAATTTTAGAATAAGGATGTAACGTAACAAAATGTGGAATGCTTTCCGAATGTACTGTAAGTGTCAAGTGTAGACACGACCTGTGTGGCAGAATGGACTGTGTAGTCTGTCATGTTTCCTCCCTTCCCCTTACTCCAGGGCCCCTCTTATAGGGTGTGCTGGCATTGACAGGGGATACAGTGCAATGGCTCTCTCTCCTCATGTTTGACACTGTTGGCTCGTGGGGCTTGGGAGAAAGTTGCAATGTGGTGACGTTACACATATTACTACCATTGACCAAATGCAGAGTGGTAAATTAGTCTTTGGTTCCCAAGTGGTCATTAATTCGCATTCATTTCATGTCATATTTTTAGCCCAAAACGTGTGCCAGTTGAAGCATGTTTCCCTTAAGTGTACTAAATCTGTCTCGTTTCCTCCCTGTTTCTGTCAGGACCCAAAAAGCCCTCGGCCCCTGATATGTTTACAGAATCGGACGTCATGTTTGAAGCAGCCATTGATGTAAGTCTTACAGGAGCCTCACTCCCCTCCACTGATCTCCAACCATGTTTATATCTCTGATCTTTAGAGTGCAGCTTGGACTAAACATGCAAGCCCATCTTCTGAGTGATCTGTCTGTGGCAGTAGGTCAGTATGCGAGTGTGGTTGAATGTTTGGTCATGTTGTGGTTGAACTGTTGGTCGTCTGTCTCTGTACAGAGTGCCAGGATGAGAGCAGCAGGTGTCGGGGGGAAGGACTTCAAAGAGAACCCCAACCTCCGGGACAACTGGACCGACGCAGAGGGTTACTACCGTAAGTGCCCTTGACTGGACACACTATTACAAATGTTACTGCCATTCACTAATTAATCAATGAAAGGCTGCTGAGCTTTTCTCTCTCAAAATTATCCATGTTTGGAAACAGTCCATGTAGTCTTAGAGTATTCTGCTGTGTATGAGTGCAGTCCTTTGATTTCACTATTGGTCAATAGTGTTATTTGAGGCCTAGTAACTGGATATCTCATTGAGAAATGCCCAAACTTTCTAAACATGCCCCTCATGTCTTCCTACTGTGTGTTAGGTGTGAACATCGGGGAGACGCTGGACAAGCGCTACGATGTGTACGGCTACACAGGCCAGGGAATGTTCAGCAACGTGATCAGGGGCAGGGACACGGCCCGCGCCGGACAGGATGTGGCCGTCAAGATCATCCGCAACAACGAACTCATGTAGGTCCTCAGGCCTCAGGCAGGCAGCCTCAGGACTCAAATGGCACCCCATTCCCTATATAGTGCATTACTTTTGACCAGCACTCTTGACCAGGGCTCTGGTCATAAATAGTGAACTATGAAGGTATGTAAGATGAATGCACTAATTGTTAGTCGCTCTGGATAAGAGTGTCTGTTAAAGGACAAAAATGTAGGGAGTAGGGAGCCATTTGGGATGCATCCTTAGTCTTTTTTTCGTTTATGGTTAGGGGAACATATTGCCTTCACCCACCCATACATTTGAATGTGCCCTCTCATTAGAAGTATTCTAGCTACCTCTATGTGGATCGTCCAGGGCTTTTTTGGAAAAGAGATATTTACCTCAATAAAACCTACCTGGATAAATAAACTAATAGATGCTGACCTTGCTGATTGTGTTTTGGGTCTCCAGGCAGAAGACTGGCCTGAAGGAGCTGGAGTTCCTCAAGAGGCTCAACGACGCCGACCCAGATGACAAGTTCCACTGCTTGCGCCTCTTCAGACACTTCTACCACAAGCAGCACCTGTGTCTGGTGTTTGAGCCCCTCAGGTACTAACTGGGAGACTACCACTACTGCACTGTCACCACACTATGGCTACGTCGGGAAATGGCAGCCTATTCCCTACATAGTGCACTACTAGTCAAAATGTGTGCACTACAGGGAATAGGGTGTTATGTCCTCAGTGGCAGTATACACCGCAATGTGTTTGTCATCTAGCGCACTGCTTCTCTGGCTCTAACTCATGTCTCTCTGTGAAATCTCCTCCTCAGTATGAACCTGCGCGAGGTGCTGAAGAAGTACGGTAAGGACGTGGGCCTCCACATCAAGGCTGTCCGTTCCTACACCCAGCAGCTCTTCCTGGCCCTCAAGCTCCTCAAACGCTGCAGCATCCTCCACGCTGACATCAAGCCGGACAACATCCTGGTACGAGGCCCATACTATCATTATCATCACATGACTGTTACAACTGCACTGAGGCCGGGTCGTGTTCAAAGGCACAAAATGGAGAAAGCGGACTGAAACTGGGAGGGACTACCTGGTTTCGTCCAATAATAACCACTTGTTTTCGCTTTGCATTGAGATCTTTTAAAAAGCGTTTTGCTATGCTGTGCCCTAATGAATAAAACCCTGGCCTGATAGTCCCGTCTAACAGAGTGTCTGTTTCTCTCTCTCCCCCACAAGGTGAACGAGTCGAAGACCATCCTGAAACTCTGCGATTTTGGCTCTGCATCCCACGTGGCGGACAACGACATCACGCCGTACCTCGTCAGCAGATTCTACAGAGCTCCAGAAATCAGTACATTTTACTTTGAGATCGTTTGTTGATTATAACGGTTTAGCTGTAATAAAGGTCTCTGATGGATCACACTCCTCATGATGTCTCTCTCTGTCACAGTCATTGGGAAGCCGTACGACTACAGCATAGACATGTGGTCGGTGGGCTGCACGCTGTACGAACTCTACACCGGCAAGATCCTGTTCCCCGGCTCCTCCAACAACCACATGATTAAACTGGCAATGGACCTCAAGGGCAAGATGCCCAACAAGGTAAACTGTTCACATTACTGGACTTGGCTGGTCTCTCCTAGCGTTAGTCTCTCTCAAAGTTAGATTCTCTCTAAAAGTTAGATTTTGACAGGAAGTCATAACCTGGGGCATTGTTCACTGCTGTAACATACAGATGATGTAATGTTTCTTATTTTGTTCTCAGATGATCCGGAAAGGCCTGTTCAAAGACCAGCACTTTGATCAGAACCTCAACTTCCTCTACATTGAAGTAGACAAAGTAACCGAAAGGGTTCGTATATGTTCTACATTTCACCTGCTCAGTTGTCGGGAAACTATCTAAGAAATGAGGCAGAACTGAAAAACTGTGGTCACTCTAAGGCTCTTTGTCTAGGATGAACTGAAAAGCCTGTGGTCATTCTGAGGCTCTTTGTTTTAACCGTGTGACCGGGTTACTCTGAAGCAACGAGAAACAATACAGGTCTATCTGTTCCTGAAGTTTTATCTCCATCCCATGTCCTTGACATACCCAGACCAGCTGCAGGGAGCTAGAGGGGACCCCCCTTATGAAAAGCACAGCATTGGTAGTTAAGAAATGTTTCTACTATTGTTAAGAATATTAATAGTTAACTATTAATATTAAACAATTCAGGCAAATACGTGTATTGCCCAACAGATCCCCAGGACCACATGTATGTAAAATGTATACTTAAAAGTGTCTGCTAAATGGCATATATATACACAGTCAATGTCTGGACACACCTACTCATTCCAGGGTTTTTCTTTATTTTTACTATTTTCTACATTGTAGAATAATAGGGAAGACATCAAAACTATGAAAAAACAAATATGGAACCATGTAGTAACCAAAAACGTGTTAAACAAATCAAACTATATTTTATATTTGAGATTCTTCAAAGTAGTCACCCTTTGCCTTGATGACAGCTTTGCACACTTGGCATTCTCTCAACCAGCTTCATGAGGTAGTCACCTGGAATGCATTTCAATTAACAGGTGTGCGTTGTTATAAGTTAATTTGTGGAATTTCTTTCCTTAATGCGTTTGAGCCAATCAGTTGTGTTGTGACAAGGTAGGGTTGGTATACAGAAGATAGCCCTTTTTGGTAAAAACCAAGTCCATATTATGGCAAGAACAGCTCAAATAAGTAAAGAGAAACGACAGTCCATCATTACTTTAAGACATGAAGGTCAGTCAATCCGGAGAATTTCAAGAACTTTGAAAGTTTCTTCAAGTGCAGTCGCAAAAACCATCAAGCGCTATGATGAACTGTCTCTCATGAGGACCGCCACAGGAAAGGAAGACCCAGAGTTACCTCTGCTGCAGAGGATAAGTTCATTAGAGTTAACTGCACCTCAGATTGCAGCCCAAATAAATGCTTCACAGAGTTCAAGTAACAGACACATCTCAACATCAACTGTTCAGAGGAGACTGCGTGAATCAGGCCTTCATGGTCAAATTGTTGCAAAGAAACCACTACTAAAGGACACCAATAACAAGAAGAGACTTGCTTGGGCCAAGACACACAAGCAATGGACATTAGACCGGTGGAAACCTGTCCTTTTGTCTGGAGTCCAAATTTGAGTTTTGGTTCCAAACGCTGTGTCTTTGTGAGACGCAGTGTAGGTGAACAGATGATCTCCGCATGTGTGGTTACCACCGTGAAGCTTGAAGGAAGAGGTGTGATGGTGTGGGGGTGCTTTGCTGGTACACTGTCTGTGATTTATTTAGAATTCAATGCACACTTAACCAGCATGGTTACCACAGCATTCTGCAGCGATACGCCATCCCATTTGGTTTGCGCTTAGTGGGACTATCATTTGTTTTTCAACAGGACAATGACCCAAAACACACCTCCAGGCTGTGTTAGGAGTATTTGACCAAGAAGGAGAGTGATGGAGTGCTGCATCAGATGACCTGGCCTCCACAATCACCTGACCTCAACCCAATTGAGATGGTTTTGGATGAGTTGGATTGCAGAGTGAAGGAAAAGCAACCAACAAGTGTCCAGCATATGTGGGAACTCCTTCAAGACTGTTGGAAAAGCATTCCTCATGAAGCTGGTTGAGCGAATGCCAAGAGTGTGCAAAGCTGCCATCAAGGCAGAATCAAAAATATAACGCATATATTTTGATTTCTTTAACACTATTTTTAATTGTTACATGATTACATGTTTTATTTCATCGTTTTGATGTCTTCACTATTATTCTACAATGTGGAAAATAGTCAAAATAAAGAAAAACCCTTGAATGAGTAGGTGTCCACACTTTTGACTGGTACTGTGTATATACAGTGGCTTGCGAAAGTTTTCAAGAAATAAGACAAAAAAACAGAACTTGAGCGTGCATAACTATTCACCCCCCCAAAGTCAATACTTTGTAGAGCCACCTTTTGCAGCAATTACAGCTGCAAGTCTTTTGGGGTATGTCTATAAGCTTGGCACATCTAGCCACTGGGATGTTGCCTATTCTTCAAGGCAAAACTGCTCCAGCTCCTTCAAGTTGGATGGGTTCCGCTGGTGTACAGCAATCTTTGTCATACCACAGATTCTCAATTCTCAACAGGCCATTCCAAGACATTTAAATGTTTCCCCTTAAACCACTCGAGTGTTGCTTTAGCAGTATGCTTAGGGTCATTGTCCTGCTGGAAGGTGATCCTCCGTCCCAGTCTCAAATCTCTGGAAGACTGAAACCGGTTTCCCTCAAGAATTTCCCTGTATGATGCGCCATCCATCATTCCATCAATTCTGACCAGTTTCCCAGTCCCTGCCGATGGAAAAACATCCCCACAGCATGATGCTTCCACCACCATTCTTCACTGTGGGGATGGTGTTCTCGGGGTGATGAGAGGTGTTGGGTTTGCGCCAGAGATAGCGTTTTCCTTGATAGCCAAAAAGCTCAATTTGAGTCTCATCTGACCAGAGTACCTTCTTCCATATGTTTGGGGAGTCTCCCACATGCCTTTTGGCGAACACCAAACGTGCTTATTTTTTTCTTTAAGCAATGGCTTTTTTCTGGCCACTCTTCCGTAAAGCCCAGCTCTGTTGAGTATATGGCTTAAAGTGGTCCTATGGTCAGAGACTCCAATCTCCGCTTTGCAGCTCCTTCAGGGTTATCTTTGGTCTCTTTGTTGCCTCTCTGATTAATGCCCTCCTTGCCTGGTCCGTGAGTTTTGGTGGGCGGCCCTCTCTTGGCAGGTCTGGTGTGGTGCCATATTCTTTCAATTTTTTTAATAATGGATTTAATGGTGCTTCGTGGGATGTTCAAAGTTTAGGATATTTTTTTATAACCCAACCCTGATCTGTACTTCACCACAACTTTGTCCCTGACCTGTTTGCAAGGCACTGTATATGTGTGTGTGTGTGTGTGTGTGTATATACAGTCAGGTCCATAAATATTTGGACATTGACCAAGTTATTGTTATTTTAGCTGTCTACCACAGCATATTGGAGTTGAAATTAAATAATGAATATGAGCTGAAAGTGCAGACTTTCAGCTTTAATTTGAGGGCATCCAAATCAGGTGAACGGTGTAGGAATTACAGCACTTTTTATTTGTGGTCCCCCCCTTTTTAAGGGACCAAAAGTAATTGGACAATTGGCTGCTCAGCTGTTCCATGGGCAGGTGTGTTATTCCCTCATTAGTTCATTTACAAGTAAGCAGATAAAAGGTCTAGAGTTGATTTCAAGTGTGGCATTTGCATTTGGAATCTGTTGCTATTAACCCTCAATATGAAGTCCAAAGAGCTGTCACTGCCAGTGAACCAAGCCATCATTAGACTGAAAAATCTAAACAAACCCATCAGAGAGAGAGCAAAAATATTAGGTGTGGCCAAATCAACTATTTGGTGCATTCTTAAAAAGAAAGAACGCACTGGTGAGCTCAGGAACACCAATAGGCACGGAAGACCACGGAAAACAACTGTGGTGGATGACAGAATAATGATTTCCCTGGTGAAGAAAAACCCCTTCACAACAGTTGGCCAGATCAAGAACACCCTCCAGGAGGTAGGTGTATCTGTGTCAGTCAACAATCAAGAGAAGACTTGTGGTCCTCTGTAGTTCAGCTGGTAGAGCACGGCGCTTGTAACGCCAAGGTAGTGGGTTCGATCCCCGGGACCACCCATACACAAAATGTATGCACGCATGACTGTAAGTCGCTTTGGATAAAAGCGTCTACTAAATGGCATATTATTATTATTATTATTATTATTATTATTATTATTATTATTATTATAAGACTTCACCAGATAGAGGGTTTACCACAAGATGTAAACCATTGGTAAGCCTCAAAAACAGGAAGACCATATTTTGCCAAAAAACATCTAAAAAAGCCTGTACAGTTCTGGAACAACATCCTATGGACAGATGAGACAAAGATCAACTTGTACCAGAATGATGGGAAGAGAAGAGTATGGAGAAGGGAAGGAACTGCTCATGATCCGAAGCATACCACCTCATCTGTGAAGCATGGTGGAGGTAGTGTTATGGCGTGGGCATGTATGGCTGCCAATGGAATGGGTTCCCTTGTATTTATTGATGATGTGACTGCTGACAAAAGCAGCAGGATGAATTCTGAAGTGTTTAGGGCTATATTATCTGCCAAATGCTTAAAAACTCATTGGACAGCGCTTCACAGTGCAGATGGACAATGACCCGAAGCATACTGCGAAAGCAACCCAATTATTTTTTAAGGCAAAGAAGTGGAATGTTCTGCAATGGCCAAGTCAATCACCTGAACTGAATCCCATTGAGCATGCATTTCACTTGCTGAATGCAAAACTGAAGGCAAAACGCCCCAAGAACAAGCAGGAACTAAAGACAGCTGCAGTAAAGGCCTGGCAGACCATCACCAGGGAAGAAACCCAGCATCTGGTGATGTCTATGGGTTCCAGACTTCAGACAGTCTTTGACTGCAAAGGATTTGCAACCATGTATTAAAGCTCACAATTTAATTTATGATTGTTAGTTTGTCCAATTACTTTTGAGCCCCTAAAATTGGAGGGCTATGTATAAAAATGTTTTTAATTCCTACACGGTTCATACAAAACCCTTAAATTAAAGATGAAAGTCTACACTTAAAGCACATCTTGATTGTTTCCTTTCAAATCCATTGTGGTGGCGTACAGAGCCAAAATTATGCAAATTGTGTCACTGTCCAAATACTTATGGACCTGACTGTGTGTGTATATATTTATATATTTCCCAATTCTCTCCATCCACCCACTCCTTCTCCATCCTCCCCGCACCCCACCTCCCTCCACACACACCACAGGAGAAGGTAACAGTGATGAGCACCATCAACCCCACCAAGGACCTGCTGTGTGACATGGTGGGCGGCCAGCGGCTGCCCGAGGAGCAGAGGAAGAAGGTCCTGGTCCTAAAAGACCTGATCGACGGCACGCTGATGCTGGACCCGGCCAAACGCATCAGCATCAACCAGGCCCTGCAGCATCCCTTCATCCAGGAGAAGATCTGACCTCAAACCAGCCCAACCATCAACTAGGCCCTGCAGCACCCCCTTCATCCAGGAGAAGATCTGACCTCAGACCAGCCCAACCATCAACCAGACCAGCCTTGACAGGTAGAAATACAAGACCAGATGCCCCATTTGAGAATGTTATGGATAAATTGTTTCTCCTATTTTGATTGATGGGTACTATAACCTGGTATGTTGTTTTAATTGTAAATAAGTCATGGAAAATACATTCATGAAGAAGAAAAAATACTTTTTTTGAGTTATCATAGTAAACCTCACCCCCCTCCCGCAGTGGACGCAGCAGTTATGGACTATTTCTATTTAACTGGCATTGAAGTGAATGACATTAAAATAATACAATTCCTGTAAACATGTCTAATGCATTGTCGAAGTATCTGAGTGTAGGTCGGTTTAGAAATGTGTGTTGTGTACTAGTCGCATCAAGAAGATGATACATAATGGCACATCTTCAACAGTTGATTTTTTTATGATCACCAACATTGCTCATTCTGCGACGATGCATGCTTTTAAATGTGCACCCCTTCGTTGTGCTCTATATGTGTGTAGCATAAGTCTGTGTACTGTTAATGCTCTCTGTAACCAGGTTTCCAGCCAACCTTTTTATGTGAGGAAAGTACATGTTGGTTAAAAAATGTCAAGACGGGCATGATGGAAACAGCACATTTGTTGGTAAACGTTCTAAATGTCGACAAAATAAAATATGCTAGACAAGGTGGGATATTTTTGTTGGTAAAATTCATTATGCGAGAAATTGCGGTGGAAACACTTTTTTGCGCAAATATTGTTATATTAACCATCATATTGAAGTAAACTTGGAGTCACGCGATGATGGTCCTCCAACTATGACTCGAGAATGCATGCAGTTAATTACGCTACAGATGAAATAAGTTATGATGAACTTCACAGGGTGGTGAAAGTGCAAGGTGACGAGCTTGATGCACCTTTCCTAATAAATATCGAGGGTCTTATTCTGGTGACATGATGATCGATGCTTGGCTGCCGGTTGACAAATTAAAATATATTTTATCAATAATAATCTCTTCATGTAGGTAGCCTACCCACACTGTATCTGCAAACTGTTGGCTAGACCACACGTGCCAAGACCAGTGGGCATATTCGCAATATAACGCAACATTTGTTGTGACGAAAACCATCAGTAGAGTTGAAAATGCGATGGAAACCAATTAAACGTATTAGGTACATTTAACCGTAAAAGTTATTTTCTGTGCGCTACATCACGCACAGCTTTTTATCCGCAACAAGTCAATTTGATGGAAACATCTCTGGTGGGAAAATGTGCATTTCGTTTTTATGCAGATTTCTGAATATTCATCAATTGGATGGAAACCTAGCTTGTTTGTGTAGCAGCATTGATGTCCCACGTGATTGCAGATGGCACCACAAGCCCCATTTCACAGGTCCCAGGCCTGTGCTTAAGGAATGGTCTCAACAATAGGACTGTACTCCCCCGAACAATAAGACCGTTCCATTTCAACGTCGGTCATTGTGTTATTTTACAGGGCAGAGCAGCCCCACTGACTCCAACGATTTCACATATTTCCTCTCTATGTCATGGTTTTGGCTATAGGCTCTCAGATTTAAGTGCCTCCTGCATGAGCCTTGTGTGTAGAACACAGAACAATGCCAGCCTGTGGAAGCCACCTCCTCGTTCTCCCTCCCATGTTGTATATATTCCATTGTTGCCACAGTCTTTCTCCATGTTAAAGATTTTCATGTTTGATTTGTTTATTTTCTCTTGTGATTTAAGCGAAGAACTGAGTTGTGAAATTCAGATGTGAAAAGAGCACCTTCAGTGCACCACCACTTTTAGTAATAAAATATTTCCTATTCAATATTGTTTTGGCTCCTCTGTTCTCAAGTATAATACAATACAAATGTACAGCGGTGTAATTTCTCCAATATCTATTTCCGGAATTAAGCAATGACTTATAATTATTGATAGGGTTCTGTGGCTAAGGCAAATGGATAACTGGGTAGAGGGAGGGCATCCTTGTCTTCAGTGTATTTTCTAAGCAATACCTTGTTGACTTCCTGTGTAGGTTTGGATCGTGACTCTCAGGAAGAGGAGATATTGAAAATGTGAACTCGCACTGATGGGTATCCCCATCTCTCTCCATTTACCACTGAAGTTCTGCCCTGAGAGCACCAACCTGGCCCCTGACACTCCCCCAACCATTTGAGTCTGAGGTAGACTGAGGAGACATAGAGCTAGAGGCAGAGTCAAGAAGGAGAGAAATGTCTCTCTAAAGGGAACTGGTCTTGTCTGAAACATGTGTAGCCTGCAAGCTTCAAAGCCAAAGAGCCCATCTCATGTGGCCAGTTGGAACGATTTATAGCTCTCCTCTTTGCTGAAATCTTCTGACGCTAGGTAGTGGGTACCCTTTTGTGAGTCCTCCATTTTCTCTCAGTGATTGCAGTGGTAAGAGCATTTAGGAAAGGGTCTACCCATCTAAAAAGTCTCAATATCCAGTGGAAAGGTAAAATGATGTGAAGCCCGGCTCTACTTATGTCAAGGGCACCTAAAGGGCTTGAAATGGATGCTGATGGGTTGGGTTGCCATGTTAAAGGATTGGGTGAATTATGGGCATTGTGAAATGGGAGATGGTGAAGAGGGCAATCAGAGAGATTCACAAGGGGACTGATGAGCCATTGCCTTTGATCTCTGGACTGGAGCCACAGAGACTCTATGGAGGGAAAACCGTTGGTCAAAAGAAAATAATCTTAGTGCATCACAGAAGATTGGGGATTTTCTACCAAGACTACCCTGTGTCACGGTATTTGGTTATATATACAATTAAAAGCCAATTGAGAAGATATGACAATATTTTTGGACAAACCTAAAGGTAAATTCATTCCTTTATGCAATTCAGGGAGTTTGTAATTTAAATGTAATTCTTACTCATGATCAGAAGGGGGCAACAAAAGCACAGAATATGTGCTTCTCCTTAATTCAATGTGTAAGAATTGAGGGTACATAGTTTGATACAGATGGTCAGTGAGTTCGACCAGTGGCCTAGCAAGTTGCATTTCCCTTTGGTGTGTGTAATTTATCCTCTTAGATAACAAAAAGTGTTTGGCGCTAGACATTAACCCAATATGTTGGCACGACATTTGATTTGAGAGTACAGAAGCTTTCAATCTGAACCTGAGGTTTATACATACATTGTTTAGTGATTTAATCCCATTTCAAGGGCAGTGATTTAGTAATGTAGTAATTCTTAGTAATGTGGTTTGTCTCATGCAGAAATGGCAGTGACGTTCGGTCAATGAATGGTTCATTCTATCCCATTTACTTATGTGTTGTGGTGGGTTGATGACCTTTCGCTAAGTCCAACAAACCCATGTAACCTATGGAAGATCGGTCCCTTATCCATCTGAGTGTGTTTCATATCGTATCCAAACCAGCACACATGCAAGACAGGAGACTTGAAATATAATTTCCTTTTTTTATTAAAACCATACAAACATTTGTGGTCAGTTATAAAATAGCAGTGGCTCTTCTGGCAGACAGGCAGTGCTGGGCACTCTGTGCACCACTCAGAGCCAAATCTGCCAGGACTAGAAGCAGGGTCTGGGAATCCCTGCTTTAAGAGTAATTTATTTATTGGCCTCTCGTGCCTCATCCTCATATCTGAGCTAAACCTACAGAAAGAATAATGTATTTACAGGTATAAAAAAAAAAAAAGGCAAGAAAATGTGAAGAAAAAAAAAGAAGAAAAAAAAGATGCATTTTACACATCTCAAACTTTTCGATAATCCTTTTTTTAATATAAATGTTTATGTAAATTTTACAGGTCTCACAAAACACTTAATGTGTATATTTTTTCATAATTAACAATGGAAGATTGGCAGTGATCTTTTTCTTTTCCGACAGGCAGATTTTAAGGCACATACCTCATGGCCATTCCCTCTGGTCCTTTGACAAGGGAATGAATTCTTACCTCTTTCAAAACAAAACACCATTGATGCACAGCTACAAAAGACAAAAAGTACCAAAAAACACCAAAACGATTCCGTACCTCATTGTCTTGCCACTGAAGACTAAGGAAACTATTTAATATACTGTACACACTGTCATGTGAGACTGCAAGGCGATACTAACACTGTTGAAAGAGTCACTGCACTCCATAGTGCTGTACTGTACTCCTTTGGAGAATAGAATATGGATTATCCACTATTTGAATGTCTAATAGACATAAGGATCACATTTCTAAAATGGTGAAATACAATGGAGGATAAAAAACAAACAGAAAACATACAAATGCTACCCTTTCTGTCTGTGAATCATATGCTGCGCTTAGAATTAATGGATGATCTGTGGTATCTGACAGCAAGAATCTTATTCTCACAAAGAAAATATAAAAAAACACATTGTTATATACACCTGTGAGTCCCATTACAGACATTGTAAATCAAGCCATTGGAGTATGAACTAAAGGGTTACTTATGGCGCTTGTGTGAATTCTAAGACTTTGAAGGCTGGTCCTTTTAAATGTGGGCTCAATACCATATTATAGGAATACTCTGTCAAACACACACCACCAATTGGTAAGACTTGGTAGAAGCACTGAAACACTAACATTTACATATTCGCAAAAGTAACATACTAACAAAATGACGATAGCAAAGGTGTAAATATCATTTTAAAAAGCAAGTCATTATAGAAAGATAACACCATGGGCATCCGTTGCACCATTATGGTAAATGGCACATCCAATAGGATTAGATACTTGGCACGTGCTAGTCTACGTACTTATAAAGACAGTGTTTATGTTTGACCTTGAATACAACATGCATTTATACCAACAGTGTACAGCAAAAAAACAGCGACGATACACAGAATACTGTTTCAAAGGGACGAGACCAGAGAGGCCATCAGAGGCCTCACTCGCTCACCATCGTAACACAAAGGGAAGGGCTTCCAAAAATAGCCTTCATTCCAGAAAAGGAATATATCTATATATACTTTTTGTCACATCCCCTGTCTCGGAAGAGAGGGGATGACATTTTATAAAATAAATCAGTTTGGCAACAAATTTGTTTCGGGGAACACTATGTAAGTATAATAAACTCGTAATTTGTCGCTTTGTCTTAAGCGTTGCCGACTTTTTCCCTCTTTACATGCATCAGTTTTTTCCTCTATTTCCTTTTAGGGGAGGGAGGGATGGAATAAAGGAAGGAGGGAGATAGTTACTGCATGATGGCTAGGAACTTGCTCTCCTCAGCGAGGGTGGTGAGCAGGGAGCTCATGTCCCCGATGGCCATATTGCTCAGGTTGCAGGGCATCATGACCGCGGTGCTGTGGAAGGTGGCGGAGGCCCGGGGTGTGGTGAGGCGGGACGAGTTCCGGGACACGCCCTGGAAGATGGAGGGTCTGATCACCCCCGACACCAGACTACCCTGGTTGTAGCCTACCCCCACGTCCTCTATCATGGCTCCGAAATCCAGTGCCAACACGTTGTTTAGCACGTTGGCCGAGCCACCCACGCGGCTGTCCACCGTGCTTGTCACCTGGTCAGCCGCCGGGGAGAGGAGGGAGGCCGGGACCGAGGAATCCCCGCCTAGTCCCACCTGCTCGGTCATGGTCTCCAGCAGACACTGCTCCTCCAGTGGAGAGAAGGCCTTGGTCTCCACCGGGTCAAAGCACACAGCCTGGTCGCTGAAGCCCTGGTCCAGGTAGCCCTGGTCGGGAGCCTCCAGCTTCAGCCCGGACACCTGGTGGGCCAGGGAGCAGTGACTGACTTGGTTCCTCAGACTCTGCTGCTGCTTGGTGAGGTTCTGCTGGGTAAGGTTGACATGGCTACCATTGGTGGTGCTCTGTTGGGCATTCAGGTACTGCTGTGGTCTGGCGGGGTGCCTGTAGCTGCTGTTGGCCTGCTGCAGGCGAGGGGCGGGGGCCTGGGGGTGGTGGTGGAGCGCTGAGGCCTGCGAGAGGCTGGAGAGGCTGTCCATGGAGGCCCGGCTAAGGAGCAGGTTATCTCCAATCTGCCTGGAGGTTCCATGGTTCTGGGTCTGGTACTGCTGCTGGCTGTAGCCCTGGGGCAGAGGCCCCACAGAGATCTGGGAGAAGTCAGGCCGGCCGAAAGTGTGTGTGGGGTTGTGGCCGTTCCCTTTCATCTCCATGCAGGAGTGGGTGGTCGCCTCTAGCTTCACCCCGCCATTGACTCTGCATAGGGGCTGGGGCTGGCCTGGCTGGGCACAGCGGTTCTGGAAGTCTCTGGTAGTAACCGTCTGTTGTTGCTGCTGCACCACCATGTTCCCAAACCTCCCGAACGGCGAACCGGCACCCAGACCTTGGTGCTGCTCTGTGGTGGCCCATCGGCCACACCTCTGCTGGGCCTGGACCTGGGGCTGCCTCTGGGGAGACCTCTCAGCACTCCCTGAGCTCACCTCGTTCCATTGAATGGGCATGCCGTCTTTACTGGGGCCCTCTCTCTCCAGGCCCTGCTGCTGTTGGTGGTGCTGCTGGAGACTGTGGAAGCACTGGTTCAGCCCTGGGCCTTGGTCCTGTAACTCCCCTCCAGGGAGATGGCCGTTGTCCCCAGCCACATGGTTCTCCAGGTGGTTGTTGTAGGAGTCTGCCTGGTCCTGTGAGCGGAGGTCCTGAGAGCGGAGGTACTGCACCAGGTCGTCAGGCAGCATGTCCTCATCCCCCAGCAGCAGGGCTCCCTCCTCCTCCATGGCCAGGGCCTCCAGGGCCACATGCTCCAGGATGCTGGGGGGGCAGGGAGAGGAAAGCAGGCCCCCTCTCTGGAGATTCCCCTCAGAGCGTGTGTAGTTCTGCAGGCTGAAACTGCGGCCCTCCGCTGTGGGGTTCTGGAGGCCTGATAGAGGGGGAAGTGGGTGGATGTTGTTGAGGCTGCTGAAGCGCTGGACCTGGGGCAGCCCGAAGAACTCCGGGTGGATTTGCTGAGGGTGGGTCCGCACGGGGTCGCTGGCCCTCCGGTCCGGGCCGTTCCCCGGGCCCTCGCCGGGGTAGAAGCCGCTTCGCCGGTAGTCTCGGTACCCGCCGTGGCCCCCGTACCCATTGGTGGTGCTGCCGTCGCTGCAGCGGCGCGGCCTGACCAGCGGGGGCAGCGCGTGGTTGCCTCCACCTCCATCCTGGCCATCGCCCATCATGGCCATGCGGGTCTTCAGGCTCATGCGCTCCATGTTGGGCAGCGGAGTGGGGGGTGGGCCGCCTGTGGCAGCAGCGTACTTGGCCTTCAGGTTGTAGTGCTGCGCCGGCGTGAGGTTGAGCATCCCCTTGGACCCTCCCCCGACGCCCGCCCACCCTCCACCCACAAACACTCCTCCCCCGCACTGGCTGGCCTCGCTGGAACGGCGTGAGGCGTCGGTGGAGATGGGGTCGTAGGAGTCGGTGGAGCTAAGGTTGTGGTGGCGGCGGTGGTGACCAGGGGTGTTGGCTGCCTCGCTCTGGGACGCCTGGCTGGAGCGCCGCGACGAGAAGCACGGCGAGATGCCCGAGGAGCGCCGGCTGCTGCTCAGGTAGGCTGAACTGGTGGCGCTGCCACTGCTGTCCCGCCGGTCACCGTGCTCAATGCCACGGAGCAGGCTGAGCACCGTCAGCTCTGTGCTGCCCAGCTCGGGACGAGGAGGAGGCTGGGGCTGGGATAATCTGCCCAGGCATGGACCTGAGGAGTGAGAGAGGGGGGGGAGTGAGAGAGAGGAAAAGAGAGAGAGACAGAACAAGGGTGGAAGTGTGTAGGGGGAGGAACAAAGAGAGGGTGGAGAAAGAGAAAGATGAGCACAATATAAGTGAGGAGAGATCCCTCAAACAGATGCAACCTTCTCACAAACACAACTGGCACAGTTTGGCCATGAAATTCTATTACATGCTCTAATCACTGATGTGATATATGATGTGATATGATATGGGTTTGATTCTGATTTCCAGCGGAACATATGTTAAGCCTGTCAATTCAAGTCCGATCTGCAGGGGGGGAAATTCCAGGTAATCAAACCGCGATCTGCTGAGACATTTGGAGTTCTTTTCACAACCCAAAATTAGTGTCAATATTATTTTACATATCTATTGGCCTTTACCGATATTGAATGTCCATGGAGTCAAGTGTGTAAAACACACTTCTCAGCATAAGTCCCTGTAATAAAACACTATTATTCTTTGTGTAACATAAGCATGGCCTCAGAGGACCCAGACAGGGTTGTGGATATGAGCATGGTGGATCCTTACCCAGCACGGCAGGTCCCTTGGGTGGCGGTGTGGGGGACAGGGGGCCCAGCCTGGGCATGAGGGCTCCACCTCCTCCATTCACCTGCTTCAGCCTCTCCATCTTCATGTGCTCCATCCATCTCATGGGCCGGCCCACGTTCCTCCTTGCCTGCAGCGCCAACGTAGCCGCCGTGGCTGTCGACACCGTGGAATCCATGATGGGGGCGTCACGGCCCCCCTCCAATTCCTCCAACCCCTCCTCCTCCTCCTCCTCCAGCTCCTCGTCTTCCTCTCCCGGCCCCTCGCCCAGTCCCACCACCCCTCCCCTCACAGCAAGCTGGACTCCATGGCTGGGATAGGTGCTGATGGGGGACTGGTCACTGCTGCATGTAGACTGACCGCCAGGGCTTGGCTGAGACGTCTGCGGTGGGGTGGGGGATCAAGTAAAAGATGAAAACAGATGTAAGAGAGAGAAGAAAAAAAAACGGGAAGGGATGAGAAGAAGTATAGAGCTCGATTATTACCAACTACATGTGACACATTGAGGACACATTCATTTTCTCAAAGGTCTGAGCCATATGATTAAAACACATGATGACACCATGTGATGCAGCTGCCTGGGACATGCTTTCCACAGGAGTAAACAATAACACAAAGACATTGCTGATTGTGATTGGTCATATTAACGCATTCAGTCTGTGCATGACCTAATACCACCTTCATATCTATAGACCAGGTTTGCACTTAACTGTCATTACAGCATTAGACATAAACACAGACAAACTTTACTCTCTCAGAGCTGTGGGTTTGTCCAATGTCTTCTGTTTTGTAAACAATGTCAAGTGAATTACGGAAGCATGAGTAACGCCTCCCCTGTGTGCCGTCCAATGGACCGGTCCAGACTCTATAACAAACACTCCTGAGGAGGTAGTGGGGTTTAGACTATTTTCAGACAAGGGGGTGGGGGAGGGGGTGGACAAAGGCTTCTTTTCAGACTGACTAAGGCCTAATAGGGTTGTTTACTCTGATTTACCCAAAATGGAGATCAGTGAAGAGAAAAATAATCACTTTTTGGCACGGTGCAAAACTGCAAAGCGAGACATTCCTTTCCTTTAGTTTGAATGGGCCGGATTCCACCAAATGCATTTGGCTGCACAATAGAGCCCTAGGCAGTGTTGGGCATACTTTTAATACACATAAACACTGTTGGAAATGTACTTAGTTCTGCCCCAAGGCATTTAACTTGCTTTGGGCAAACATGACTCTCCAAAATAAGAAAATGTTTTCATGAGAATTAAGACAATTTCTCATTGCCACATTGCAATGTGAAGTGTGTAAAAAAAATTAAACATAATGGCAGCGACCGTGGACAGTTTTGTAAAGATGACTAATGAGCAAAATGATGATGCCATAAGGGAGGAGGATAAGAGGAAAACAGACTCATTTTGGATGAAATGGCTACTGAAAGGATGTTAACAAGGTGAGTGAGACACGAGGGTTTTTACAAATGCAACATGGCAACATGAAAGGACACCTATCTCACCTGATTACCCACTGTCCATAGAGAGAGAGGGAAGAGTAATGCACGGAGCATTGGACAGAAGAAAACATTCATTTGTTATAGGGTTATTCGAAGAGGTTAGATCACACATAAAACTCATGTGCTGTAGACATCCCTGGCTGACGTCCCAGTAATCAGGTTAGGTTTAAGTGAGCATCATGGTATACTACATGGTTAGAGTTAAAGTGAATATACACTGAGTGTACCAAACATTAGGGACACCTTCCTAATATTTAGTTGCACCCCTCCTTTTTTGCCATCAGAACAGCCTCAATTCGTCAGGGCATGGAATCTACAAGGTGTCGAAAGCGTTCCACAGGGATGCTGGCCCATGTTGACTCCAATGCTTCCCACATTTGTGTCAAGTTGGCTGGATGTCCTTTGGGTGGTGGACCACTTTTGATACACACGGGAAACTGTTGAACGTGAAAAACCCAGCTGCGTTGCAGTTCTTGACACAAACCAGTGCGCCTGGCACCCACTACCATACCCCATTCAAAGGCACTTAAATCGTTTGTCTTGCCCATTCACCCTCTGAATGGCAGACAGACACAATCCATGTCTCAATTGTGTCAAGGCTTAAAAATCCTTCTTTAACCTGTCTCCTTCCTTTCATCTACACTGATTTAACAAGTGACATAAATAAGGGATCATAGCTTTCACTTGGATTCACCTGGTCAGTCTATGGCATGGAAAGAGCAGGTGTTCTTAATGTTTTGTACACTCAGTAGAGCATTGTTAGAAACTATTAAGGTGACATTTCAGATAGAGATGGGCTGCTATCCCCATAGAAATATAATTACTAGAACGGGCATCCCCATCCAATTTAACATTCCGTGATGGGTGGACCAACAGCAGTAATTCTATTTCTAGGGTTATCCCATCATGCAGTGTGTGTTACTGTGTGCCCTCAGAGAGGGGCTCACCATAGGCTTCTCCGTCTTGATGGACTTGACCTGCAGACATTCATCCTGTTTCGAGGTAGCGTGGTTGTACTCCCTTTGGTCTGCGTACCCCCCTACTTGCCCTGGCGACCGGCCCTGTCCGTTTCCCCCCTCCCGGGACTGTGGCGGGGGTCGTGGGTAGGCGTCGCTGCGCTGCTTCTTGGTCACGTGCGCCTCTGGCCCGTGCACAGTCTTTACGTGCTTGCGTAGGGAGCTGGGGTCTGTGTAGCGCTTGGTGCAGCCAGGGATCTTACACACGTAGGGTTTCTGGAACATAGAGATGCATTATATTATTAGTATAGAATATTAGTATACTGTTCTATTTCATTCTATGTTCTGGAAGGAGAGAGGAGAACAGATGGGGCCAGTGACAGGATGCTTCTGTTTCTAAAGGCCTCCAGCAATGAACTGCTTAGTCAGTGGTGTAGGGAGATTACTTGTTGCTGAGCTGTGTGTGTGTGTGCGTGCTGTGAGTGAACATGTGTGTTTATGTGTGTGTGTGTGTGTGTGTGTGTACCTCGTTGGAGTGTGTGCGGTTCTGGTGCTTGGCTCTGTCTGAGGCGTTGGAGAAGGCCTTGTTGCAGCCCTCGTGTTCACAGACGTACGGCTTCTCTCCAGTGTGGGAGCGCAAATGGGTCTTCAGGTTCTCCAGGCGAGAGTAGGCCTTGGGACATCCCTCAAACTGCACAGAAGAAGAAGAATGAGAAAAGAGAGCGAGGAGGAGTGGGAAACCACACACTCATCAAACACAGCTCTAACGCTTCATCCTGGCAGAGACCAGTTACCTCAACAATATATATAACTGACGAAGGTAGAAGTGTGACAGACTGTTTATTAAATGTAAGGATGCACCATCATCACATACTCACAGCCATCTAACAACAGCTATCTCTTTATGTATCTAAGCCCATGGACGTAAAATAAACACTGTGAGAGTGTTGTGGGAGCGTTCTTACGGTGCATCTGTGTGGTTTCTCCCCGGTGTGTCTCCTCATGTGGACCACCAGCATGTACTGGGCCTTGAAGGGCTTCTGTTCCCGCGAACATTCATCCCAGTGACACACAAACTCCTTCTTCTCCCCGTGGATGTGGTCGTTGTTGATATGCTGAGAGAGGAAACAAGCAGTGGTCAATCACATGTAAATCTGGATTCAATGTGATTTGTTATGATTCAATTGATTCATTATGATTCAATAATTCACTATGAATCAAGACCGGTATGAGTCAACAGTATTTTGTCTGTACTGAAGCTGCTCTAACCAGGCGTGTAGTGACTGGTGAGCACCACAAGGTGGCCAAGGGACCCAGAATAGGTGCAGTGTTACCAGAGTATGTGAGCGGAGCGGAGCTGGAGCGGAGCGAGTTGTGGAGTGTGCCTAATTTGACTGGAGCGTGGAGCGAGATTCCCAAAGGCTGGAGCGTCAGCCTTCTCGCCCGCTCCAATTTCGCTCCAGTAGCACTCACTTCACGAGCTCAGGGCATGCCTGGCCCAGCATGCATTTATAGTGTACTTGTGTGCTGCCATAGCCCCTTGCTTAAGCTACTGTCATGAAGTTCGCTAAATATTTTCATAAAGAAACTGATCAAACACACAGGTGCAAAATCAAGGTGACTTACAAAGATGAGGACCAGGAGCAAGAGAGGGAGTGCGGTGATGTAGTGTCCACAACTAAAGAATCATTGTGGAATCTGAAAAGACACGAATCCCGAAAGCATGATGGTGTACTTACTATGTGCAAATGCTAAAAATGCTAAGTGTGTCATTGTAGCAAAGTATTTATAAACTAAAAATCAGATGTTATATTATAATAATAATTGATTTTGGCACAATAGGCCTGGCATATTCCAACTTTCAAGGAGCTTTCCATTTTGATTGAGTTATTTTGCCTAAAAACCTTTAGGCCTATCTATAGAAAAAATAATACAACCCTGCATCCCTGTCCAGCCTGGCAAGTGGCCAAAAGGGTGTTTAGTATCCCCAGTGGCTCTGCAAGCGTGGAGAGGATATTCTCCGCTGCTGGCCTGCTCTCCAGGCACCATCGCATGAACCTGAAGCCACAGACTCTGGCCAAACTCGTGTTTTTAATAATGGATTCAAAGGCACTGAGCCTAATAAGGCATTTTTTGTTTAATTTGTATTTAATTCTAAGTAAGTCACAGCCTATATGCACAATTTATAGACTATAATGATTTAATACAATGAAATGTTGTTTAAATGTTGAGTGCTTAATGTCCCTGACCTATTTAGAGTGTTTATATGCTGTTTAATTTGACAAGTAGCCTATTTGAAATTATGTGTGATTCTTACATTCACCTTTTCATGTTTATTAAAATACTTTTCATTCAAATCATATGGTTTGATTTCAATACTTAAAAATCAAATGGTAGGTCCAAGTAGTCACAAAAATAGATGGGTGTTGGTCAACTTGTGATTTTAATGAATGGAGTGAATTTGGAGCGGCAGTTTTATTTCTTGTGAGCGCAGAGCGTTTTTGTAGCGCACCACTCCATGAGCGATGAGCGGGATTGCCGACCGCTCAACTCTGCTCACATACTCTGAGTGTCACAGAGGAGGAAGCAGTAGGAAGCAATTAACAACAGTTGGAGAAAGTTAACTCTTTCTGTTGCACACATCATGTATGTATGCACATGACAGAGTGGGGAAAACATGTCTCTAATGGATAAGGAACATTCAAAATAAGGACCAAATCACACAGAGGTCAATAGTTGACAGAGACTTAATATTTACTTTGTAAAGTGTCGTGCCAAGTCCATTAAATCCCTACTGAAGTTCCTTCCTCATCATATATTTTCTTAGCTTTCTTTTCTGTTATCATCCATCATTGTTTCCCCAATAATTTTCCCTCTCTCTCGCTAACTTTCTATCTCCTCCCATTGTTTCATATTCATCCTCTCCATTCCTTTTTCTTCTGTTCAAATTTGTACTCTGAGGAATAAACAGGAGACTTGTGAGTCTCAGTGTCCGATCTGAACAGGCTTTTCAAATAAAACCCTGTCACTTCCCATCACATTGGGGCTCCTGCCCCTCCGTGACAAGTGCTGACAGTTGTGCTGCCGTGGCAACTTCCAATCTGAGGCTTATGGGGGGGGGGGCGGGAGGACGGGAGGGGAGGGACGGGGGGAGGGGGCGAGAAAATCCGAAGTTCACTCAAAGCATCTCAAATGCCAGGGCTTTACAACTCCAGCGAAGCATTATATCTAGTGAGCATGAGACACCCTGCTTTCTCTCGCTCTCACTCCCCCCCTCTCTCTCTCTCTTTCTGTCTTACACACTGACCAGTATAAAGGGGTAAGTGGACGGTTAAAGGGGGATGAGAGAGGGGTAAAGAAAAAGAGAAGAAGAAAAAAAAAGGCAGACTGACATGGAATCCTCCGGGGATGAAGTCAACATCTGGCCCTCTCACAAAGACAACAGTGTAGTGTGGTGGCCTCTGAAGGGCCTTTCTGAGAGCAATTTAAAATAAGAGAGACAGACACAATATCCTGACCAAAAGGAACCCGTCTTATTACATTCCTGAGCAGAGAGTGGGAGAGAGACCTCTGCCTTAGGGGGAATACAGAGAGAGAGAGAGAGAGAGAGAGAGAGATGGGAACAAAAGAGGGGGATAAATACAGACTTGACTTTGAGAGGTCTGGGAGAAACAAATCATTGTTAGAGTATCTTTATATTTTCTTGTAACACATTTGAACAACCAAACAACAGGAAGGGAAGAGCAGAAGAGAAGAATCAGAAAAAGATAGGGGGAGAGTGTTAGAGGTAAAGATGTGCAGAGGGAGGGGAGTTCATCCTCCCATTCCACTTTATGACACAAAGGCAGCCTGTGTCTGTAGTGTCCTGCCTCTTCAACTACTGTACTGCTGAAGAACCCACATACTTATAAAGACACTTCCAAGAAGTCAGGGCAGTGTGTGTGTGTGTGTGTGTGTGTGTGAGAGAGAGAGAGAGAGACTGTGTGTATGATGAACTGCTAGTGTGTTACTTGCTGTGCACCTCCAGGCATGACAGTCCCCAGACAAAGGTAGCATTGTCCCCAGCCAGCAGCCCCTCCCCCTGTCCAGTATGTGACCCAACACACAGGCCAGTGGGGTCCTGACCAGGGCACCGTCACAGTACCTTTGTTCCCATCAAAGGAAGGGATGTACCCCTAAACAGACAGAACCCTATGAAGACGGACCTTACTTCAAGAGAAAGGCCCCCATGGGCCCTCGAGTCTCAGAACAATTGCACTTAACTAACCCCCTATGTAGTGGGAGCCAGGGGTGTCCTACACAGCCCCTATGATGACGGAACAAGTGCACTAAAACTGGCATCTCTTCACCAGCCACGTGCACTTTCCTGCCCTGTTCTGCTCTCAGAGTCCAACTACATCAATACGTTACACAATGCAATCGTTAAGTTCCGGCTCCAATTTACTTTATGTATCAACAATGGTTCTCCATTCATTTCAACCTGACACGTTTACACTTTTGGAGTGACAAAAAAAATTATAATCCCAGAGAGAAAACGATTGGGGAGTGGAGATCGAGAGCCGTGGACATTCGTTTTCCCTTAGATTGATCTTCCCTCCTCCCGTCACAACACGGAAAACCGCTCCTCGCTCCTTTCCTCCCTTTTCCCCTCCGTCTGTGAGGGAATCCCTGTGGCAAGCGATCAGTCTGCGCCGCGCGCCGTTCGATATCTCCTAGCTGAGAGCAATGTACCAATGACCAGGGGCCACTGACGGTCGTGATGCATGGGGCCCGGCACTGACAGAGAGGGGTCCAGGCCGCAGACGACCCTAATGGTCATTATCTAATGGCAATTTGTATTGAATCAATAATCTCAATGCTGAGCGGATGGACAGACAGGCCGTGTTGGACCTGGCGTAATGGACAAACTGGTGCTGATAGCTGCGGTGGCGACAGCACACAAGCGGGTTATTCATCTTCACCCTGCCAGCTTATCGGCCACTCAGACACACACACACACACACTACAGTACACATACGCTTACAGATATAAAGTGACGTACCAATGTTACAGTGTATAACACACTGATATAATACACTGATATACAAACACACACACACACAATTTGATGTGCACTATTTGTATAGGACAGGTACAAAATATACTCAAAGGAAATGTATATATTTTATTTTTTTACTCACTCCAGACTCAAAGATAATTTCATGGATTTACACCCACGGAGCAAATTGGCCAGTGTTACCTAGTGTTGATTTTTCAGTGTAACAGAACAAGTAACACTGTAAGTGTTAAATTAACACTCATTGGTGTAAAATAACCCCTGTGTTGTTGTTAATAACAGAGTGAACCAAAACCATGCCCATCATTATCATATTTCCCAGCATGCTCTATTGTAGGTTGATTTTTAGAACTGTTTGTTTCAATATCTATGTTTTGTACATTGATTGGTTAATTAATATTTTGCTACTCAAATATAAATTACATACATTTTCTAAACTAATATGTTACTTGGACTTATTGCACCCGTTACTGAAATGGTTGTTCCAGTTTAGATGCTTTAGGTAGTCTTATATCATTGTCTTCCCAACCCTGGGAGTCATTCTGAATGCAGGTTGCAGGTGATTACAAATTCCAAAGGTTGGCTATCCCCACTCTGGCTGGATTCCAATAGTGACGGGGAAACGAAGCTTCCTGAAGCATTGAGGCTTTCCAGCCAATTGTGTCGAAAATAGGTTCATTACTCAGAGCTTCCTTATCTGTTCACAATTAGTGACATCTGCTGGTCAGCAATAAATAGCAACGTGTGATTATCAGATTATTATTTTTTCTCCAATGATTTTATCAAAACTCCATTGCGCAGCGGCAAGTCGTTGGCTTTAATAGCCTATAATCAGCTGGAATACCAGGTTTGCATCTTACATCATGCTTCCCTTTTTTGCCTTCACGTTTACTCTTTTTCGAAAACTGAATCTATGGCATTATTTAGGATGCTTATGACAGAAGCTTATACTATACTAAATAAAACATTTATTTGAACAACAGTGCAGAAAAGTGTGGTTTCACAAAATAGTGTGACTTCAATGGGATTCCTGCTAAAAAAAACGGTCAGATGGAATTACATGTACCGTATCCAGTAGAGGTCGGTGTTTGAAAGCAGCTTAATCGAAGAAAGCACCGGAACCACGGCAAAATCAGTGGGTTCCTGCATTTTGGAAAACCCACATGATCAAACGAAGCTTTGGACGTCATTGATGACGTACTTCTGATAAAGTGATGCACACATCGGCACACTGCTTTGAAGTTAGCTGCTTAGCGATTTTGACGCATGCCTCAGAGCTCCAGTATCAAACGTAACATCACTAGATTCCAATAGGAATTACACGTCACTTTGCAAGCCAGTGTAATGTGACTTGCAGGCCTGCTGTGGCCTCTAAACCATGAGTTTTAGGCCACTATATTAGGGTAAATCTAGGCCCTCAAAATAAGGCCTTATGAAATACGTATTGTATTGTGTTAAATAATTACATTTTAATGTTAACATATTCGCTTAGGATCTTACTTGGTGAATTCCAAAGGACTGAAAATGGATGAATGCAACAAACATGTCTCTGTCACTAAGAAATGCAGTAATGGATGGTATCTCTACAATTCACTCGAAAGGCAAGGCACCATGGGAAATATAAAAATAAGGCTTTACACTAAGCAGAGTGTTAATTTAACACTGTTCAAGTGTCTATACGGGTCCACACTTTCAGTGTTAAACTTAACACTCTCAGTGTTGATTTGACACTGGAGAATTTGCTGTGCATGTATTATAGCTACACATGCATGCACATAAACACACCAGATACACAGAATCCCATCAATACTTAGCTACTTTCCTCCATTTTCCCCCACCACTTCAAAATCCATCTACAGTGTATCCTTATCAAGCTCTTTCTGGGACATACATTAGAATGCAAGCGTGCATGAAAATAGGGCCTGTTTACAAGGCAATTTCACTAAGCTGTGGGACCCGCAACACCGTTTAGCTTTATCAAACAGAGCCTAATAAATCATATGCTCTTTTGTGATGTCAATTGCTGAAGCACTTTGTGTAAAGAAAGAAAAAATAGGGAAAAGAGGCAAGGGAGATGGAGGGAAGGAGGGAGGGAAGGAGGGAGGGAGATGGAGGGAGGGAAGGAGAGAGGGAAGGAGGGAGGGAAGGAGGGAGGAAGATGGAGGGAAGGAGGGAGGGAAGGAGGGAGGAAAATGGAGGGAAGGAGGGAGGGAAGGAGGGAGGAAGATGGAGGGAAGGAGGAAGAGAAGGAGGGAGGGAAGGAGGGAGGAAGATGGAGGGAAGGAGGGAGGGAGATGGAGGGAAGGAGGGAGGGAAGGAGGGAGGAAGATGGAGGGAAGGAGGGAGGGAAGGAGGGAAGGAGATGGAGAGAGGGAGGGGGGTTAGAATTGGCATGTGTAATTCAGCACAGCCTTTTCATCTTGGAGTAAGATACTCCAGACAGATAAGGTACCTAATCCTTCTCCTGATCAAAAAAGAATCTGCATTTTACCAATTAAAGGGTTGCGCCAGCAGGCGGAGAGGGGGCCGCATTCTGACTGAGCCCAACTTTATCTCCCCTCAACACCAGGGAGGCACGCAGGCTGCAACCACAGCCTTATAGCATGGTTGTATACTGGGGGAGCTAACAGGGGAGCTAATGCTAACATCATGCCATCTCCATCTAAGAACAAGAACATTACAGCGCCACCTAGGGAGATGACCCAGAATAGCACTGTATCAAGGTGGGGGGGAGAGTCGAAGTTGACCGCTACTTTCAACATGCATGTGCGGATTGTGTGCACGTACACACAGATGCGTGCACGCACACACACACCCCGTCTCAGGGTCACCCCATTTGAGACCCTTTCTGATCCCTCCCCAGTTAGTCTCTGCAACATCTCTCCAAAGCCACCCCAGTTCAAAACCCCCCCAAACATCTCAGACAGAGACATTAAAGAATCCAGCACCAACCGCTTATCTTTAAAAGTGCTCCCTCGGAGCGTACAGAGGAAGAGGAGAGAAAACGAAAGAGAAAATGAGAGAGGGAGCGAGAGAGTGATGCTAAAAAAGGTACTGGAGCTTGAGAGGGTGAAGGGAGGGAGGTTGATGTTGAGAGGCAGAGTTAAAATAAGTGATGGAGAGAGAGGGAGAAATAAATTAAATAAATAGAGCAACTGGAAATTGACACCCGCCTCGCTTTTGCTGACTGGGTAGGCCAGATAAGTGAGCTAAATTGCGTAGATGCGATGTTTATCTTATCGGCGGCACCGAGAGCGCTTAAACGCAGATGATAAAGGAACGGCACAGCGCGTCCTGGTGCGAGTGCGTTTGTAGAGTGTAAAAATATGCATCAGGAGCGCGACAGGAGCCGCTTTTGAACAAGGTGGAAAGCAATGAGGGTGGTGTATGGCGGATTTAAATTCTAAAATTAACCAAGCCAAAAACAAAGGGATTAATTCATCTTCATCTATGTAACCATCACTTTTTTAACACTTCAAATAGTAGTTTTGAAGTGTATAATTTACCTCACTTGTTTCAAATAGCAGTTTAATTTAGAGTTTTTACGTCACTAATATCAGACTATCGACAAAGAACAATCGATAGAAAACAATCAAACAATTCCAAATGTATCAGAACAGAAAACTGTTGTTAACTTTACCTCACACTACTAATCAAAGCCAGACTGGAAGCATATTCTATTATTTTTCTCTATAACCATTCTAGAAGACAAGCTTAAATAAAGGGGGAGGGGATATCCCATTGTTTGGCTGTATGGAAACCCCCCCTCCCCAGCGTTAGAGGAGAGACACTGTGGTCCAAATACTGTACTTATCCTATTACTGAAGGGGGTGGGGGTGAGGAGGGGGAGGGTTGGAGATAAGAGGGTTTTCTCCCCCACTCGCTGAATTCGAGGGGGGGATTCGCTAGGCAAATAGTTTAATTAGCATGTCCCGGCTACCCCTATCTGCATGGGCATATAAAATGAGAAATAAAATACAATGACAGAGAGAAAAAAACTATTCTGAGTGAACTTTCAAGGGGAAAAGACAATGAGGATGTGTTGATTATTTCCTTACATGGAACAATATCTCTTCTCAGATGCACAACAGTGAAACCTATGTGAGGTTAGGACAGTTAGTGTGTGGAGAGTGGACATTGTTAGGCTCAGACAGACGGTCACCTGGTGAAACTAAAAGGAGAGTGAACAAGCTCTTACCCAGTATGATGCACCCCCCTCCCCCCAGCCCAAATCCCCCTGCCCCACGGAAACAGGGGCAAGAAGTTGTCAAGATCCTCAACCTTTGAGCAGAGCCCTTCAAACGCGGGAGGCAGCCCATTCCGCGCTGAGGATATCAATTATAGATAGGGGTTACCGCCGCGGCCGCGGATTGCAATGTCAGACGCCGGGATAGACAGCCGTGGAGAGCTGGGGATCTTTATTTCAGATGTGTGCTGATGGGGGTGGTTGGTGTGTGTGTGTGTCTGTGTGTGTGTGTGTTTGTGTGTGCGTGCATGTGTGTGTGTGTGCTTGACGATAGGATACATGCAGTTGAAAGGGACACCACGGTGGCTTCCTTCTCACCATCAGCCCCTCAGCTCCAGCTCTCATGTATCAAACACTGAGTGTAAAGTCAAATCTCCCTTCTCAGTGGGCCTAGTGGTAAGTAGCACACAGCCGGTCACAGGGGAGACCAGTCCAGCACCAGCGGCATCAGCAGCAGTAATAGCATCAGTGTAAGTGGCGTCCATAGTGCTTGTGATACAGTATTACTGTAATATCATTCATATTTGGGTTAAGAATAGGCCCTCAGGCTCTACAGGATGAGAGTCATCCATCTCCAGGGAAGTGTGAGGAGCTGTATGACAGACGGGGGGAGTATATTACAGTCAATACGGTACAGACTTGTATACAGTACAGAACAGTGGAGGCTCACGGCCTGGTTGTGCAGGACTCGGAGTCTAGTCGGTGCCGGCCAAATCAGTTAGTGTCGTAGCACAACAGAGACGTGCTCGGCAGCCTTTGAGGCCATTAACCATCGTCCCCGAAACCAATCTGGAATCCGGCAAGTGCATTACTCAATGCCTGTAGGCTGCAGAACACTCTGTACTGAACACTGAACATGGTGACATACAGGGGAGGCTGCTGGACCAGAGTGTGGAGAGGGTGTTAGGGCTGGGGACAGAAGTCCAGGAGAACTATAGGACCAGTTGACTTGGAGGAGTTGGGGGCTCCTAAAATGGACTCCTAAACCTTGTTCCCTATTTATTGCGCTATTATTTGCATTCTAAATGGATCATAAAGTTTTGAAGTTTAAATTGATAGAGGTTGTATCGCAAAACCAGACGCCATAGTCTCATATTGATTCTGCCTCCTGGAAATGAAGGCTACAATACTGAATGACCAGGTACTCACGTGCACTAGCTGCTCCTGGGTGTCAAACTCCCGGTGGCAGCTCTCCCAGTGGCAGTTGGTCTCGTACACCACCTCTGGCTCCTGCTTGCTGTCGTCCTTGTCCCCTTCCTCCTTCACAAGAGTCATCCCATCAGGATGGTCCTACAGTACAGAAACACAACACAGTTATAAAAGAGTTCCAGCAAGGACCCAAAACTGACTGTTTTACAGTGGTGAACCAACACTGACAGTGATACAATGACCCAACACTGACAGTGTTACAATGACCAAACACTGACAGTGTTACAGCGAGGACAGATTTCCCCACTCGCGTCACTTCCTGTTGAACGCGGAACGAGGGAGAGCTCTGTTTGTTGTTTTGGAAAGTTTTGAAAGTATATTGAAAAAGTTTAGTTACTAGCTAGCTACCTTTTGAGCCTCATAAATGGTATCCATTGAGAAAGCAAGAAACAGATGTATGTCAGGAGAAGTGCAGTATTATCATCATGAGACATATACTTGGATGACGGAGGAGGAATGGAAGGAAAAAGAGAGGCAGAGGAGGTCTAAGAGAGAGAGGAAGGAAGATTGTGAGCTTTGTTAAAGAAGAACGGTAGAAAATGTAAGCAAAGTGAGCTGAAGACAGGAGGAGAAATTGAAGTGAATGAGGGTGAAGTATCGGATGTGGTAGGTGTGGTGAAGTACTCAGGGCCCGAGGCTTGCACAGAGGGTCAGGATAAAGATGAGTCTGTGACAGTAGGAGTGAAGTTTTTGGAAAAAGTGGACCCTTGCCTTTCGGCTGATCCATTTGTGGTTTTTTGGGTGAAAAAAGCGTTGGGTATAGTGGAATCGGTGAGGGTAACCAGAAGTGGTCTAGTGATAATTGTTTGTGTTTCTGTTGGTCAGAAGGAGAAGGCGCTCAGAGTTAAACAAATGGGGGAAAGAATTGTGAATTGTTTCATCCTCAAGAAAAGGGCGCCATTGAAAGGAGTGATTACTGGGGTAGCAGTAGATGTAAAAGTTGATTCCCGGGGTTTGTGATGCTCGTCGTTTGGTGCGACGCAAACAGGGTGGCGAGAGTGGGGAAACAGAAGAGTCATTGTCTGTTCTTTTGAGTTTTGAATTTGAGTCTTTGCCTGACAAAGTGAAGTTAGGATATATAAGTTATCCTGTACGAGCTTATGTGCCAAATACGTTACGATGTTACAGGTGTCAAACTTATGGGTATTTGGCAGCAGTGTGTAGGAGGGAGGTTCCAAGGTGTGAGAAGTGTGCAGAAGGGCATGAGACAAAGGAATGTGTAGCATTGGGGAAAGTAGTGGTATGTGCTAATTGTAGGGGTGCCCATGGGACTGGGGATCAGAAATGTCCCGTGCGAGAGAGGCAGGTTGAGGTTTCCAGGGTAAGAGTAGTGAAGAAGTTGTCATATGCTGAGGCATTGAAGAAAGTAGAGGAAGATGGGTCAAGGGGAGGAGTGGTGAGAGTAGTAGATATGTACCAGTACAGAGGGATAGGCCAACAAGTGATATATGTTTCAGTAAGATTGGATTTTTAGCGTTTATAGCAATGGTTATTAATTGTACTGCAGGGATGGAACGTAAGTCGAAGAAAATTGAGGTTGTGGTGGCAGCTGCAGAGAGGTCTTTGGGTGTGCAAGACTTGACATCAGAAGAGTTACAGGGAGTGTTACGTGGTGATGTCCCATCATTTTAGGTTGAGGGCATGAGGTAGGAATGAATATATTTAAATAGTGCAGTAGGGTGGTGTTAATTATTAATTATATTTTTGAATATGTGAGTGTAGTGTTAGATGGTAGGGTATTTCTTTATTTTATTTTTCAAGCAAAATATAAGGGAGTTGTACTCCAGTCTAGTAGGTGGCGGTAATGCAACAAATCGGATGCCATTTGCTGGGACCGCTACTATCTGTCCAGTAATCCTGCTGACCAAGGCCGGGTCTGAGAAGCTGTTTGGTGTAGCAGCTAGCTAGCTTGATAGGCAGCTAGCTAGGTTTTCTTGAAGTTTAGAACTCAGCCCGCGACGCGTTTAGCCATTGTGGCTGGGACCGTGGATTGTACCGGGCTTGTGGCTGTCTAGATCCCTGAAGTTTGCTGTTGTTGTTTCCAATCTTCCCTGCGACCTGCCATGTCTGGAACTGCGAGGAGTACAGCGTAACCTACGTTGCTACCATGACAAAGACCAAAGCCGGCGGGAGTAAAGTTGAGGACAGTGGTGTCTCTCTATCACAGGTGAAGGATCTTTTAAACAAACAAAAATAGTTCTACAAGCAGTTGTTACAACAACAAGAAAATAGCTTCAAGTGTTGTGTCCAAATACTGGTGGAGTCAACTAATAAAATAATGGACGACCTGACCAGAGAGGTCCAGGACCTGAAGAACAGTTTGCCGTTCTCCTAGGGTCAGCTTGATGAGTTTAAACAGAGGAACGGCAAGATGAAAGTAATCTATAAGTCATTGAGAGAGGACATCAGTTCTGTATGTGAATCCATGATCACAATGACGGAGAAATCTGATTATCTCGAGGGACAATCAAGGCGGAACAACATTGTTGTGGATGGAATTGCAGAATTTCCACACGAGACCACGGGAAGATTGAGGTGGAGCGCGCCCACATGACTGGAAACCCCACCACTAGCCCAGGTGACAGGCACAGACCAATAGTGGTCAAGTTCCTGAGGTTCAAGGACAAGGTAGCTGTTCTGGAAAGAGCCAAGAACTTCAGAGGAATGTACATCTTCCTCAACAAGGACTATCCTGAAGCTGAAGAGGAAAGAACTTATCCCAGCCATGAAAGCTGCCAGAGCACGTCGGGACATTGCTTACATCCGCTATGACAGGCTCATTGTCCACCCTCCCTCAAAAAAGCCTGGAAGGGATGAGAGCGCCAAGCCTATTGGTTCGTAACTTCAACCCCAAAGCACACACACACACTTACCCACACCAACTGATTCATCTACTGCTGAATGTATATACTTTTCTCTTGCTTTGTTTGCTCTTTTCCATATTATGTCTATCTCTGATAAGCTACCCAGTAAAGGGCTGACAATAGCCCATATTATTACAGTGAGGGAAAAAAGTATTTGATCCCCTGCTGATTTTGTACGTTTGCCACTGACAAAGAAATGATCAGTCTATCATTTTAATGGTAGGTTTATTTGAACAGTGAGAGACAGAATAACAACAACAAAATCCAGAAAAACGCATGTAAAAAATGTTATAAATTGATTTGCATTTTAATGAGGGAAATAAGTGTTTGACCCCCTCTCAATCAGAAAGATTTCTGGCTCCCAGGTGTCTTTTATACAGGTAACGAGCTGAGATTAGGAGCACACTCTTAAAGGGAGTGCTCCTAATCTCAGCTTGTTACCTGTATAAAATACACCTGTCCACAGAAGCAATCAATCAATCAGATTTCAAACTCTCCACCATGGCCAACACCAAAGAGCTCTCCAAGGATGTCAGGGACAAGATTGTAGACCTACACAAGGCTGAAATGGGCTACAAGACCATCGCCAAGCAGCTTGGTGAGAAGGTGACAACAGTTGGTGCGATTATTCGCAAATGGAAAAAACACAAAATAACTGTCAATCTCCCTCGGCCTGGGGCTCCATGCAAGATCTCACCTCGTGGAGTTGCAATGATCATGAGAACGGTGAGGAATCAGCCCAGAACTACACAGGAGGATCTTGTCAATGATCTCAAGGCAGCTGGGACCATAGTCACCAAGAAAACAATTGGTAACACACTACGCCGTGAAGGACTGAAATCCTGCAGCGCCCGCAAGGTCCCCCTGCTCAAGAAAGCACATATACAGGGCCGTCTGAAGTTTGCCAATGAACATCTGAATGATTCAGAGGAGAACTGGGTGAAAGTGTTGTGGTCAGATGTGACCAAAATCGAGCTATTTGGCATCAACTCAACTCGCCGTGTTTGGAGGAGGAGGAATGCTGCCTATGACCCCAAGAACACCATCCCCACCGTCAGATATGGAGGTGGAAACATTATGGTTTGGGGGTGTTTTTCTGCTAAGGGGACAGGACAACTTCACTGCATCAAAGGGACGATGGACGGGGCCATGTACCATCAAATCTTGGGTGAGAACCTCCTTCCCTCAGCCAGGGCATTGAAAATGGGTCGTGGATGGGTATTCCAGCATGACAATGACCCAAAACACACGGCCAAGGCAACAAACGAGTGGCTCAAGAAGAAGCACATTAAGGTCCTGGAGTGGCCTAGCCAGTCTCCAGACCTTAATCCCATAGAAAATCTGTGGAGGGAGCTGAAGGTTCGAGTTGCCAAACGTCAGACTCGAAACCTTAATGACTTGGAGAAGATCTGCAAAGAGGAGTGGAACAAAATCCCTCCTGAGATGTGTGCAAACCTGGTGACCAACTACAAGAAACGTCTGACCTCTGTGATTGCCAACAAGGGTTTTGCCACCAAGTACTAAGTCATGTTTTGCAGAGGGGTCAAATACTTATTTCCCTCATTAAAATGCAAATCAATTTATAAAATGTTTGACATGCGTTTATCTGGATTTTTTTGTTGTTATTCTGTCTCTCACTGTTCAAATAAACCTACCATTAAAATTATAGACTGATCATGTCTTTGTCAGTGGGCAAACGTACAAAATCAGCTGGGGATCAAATACTTTTTTCCCCTCACTGTATATGTAGTCTTAGAAATAAGGTTAATGAAATCAATAACTTGGTAACATCAGATAACATACATATATTAGCCATTTCTGAGACACATTTAGATAATTAATTTGATGATACACCAGTAGCAATACAGTGATATAAAATCTATAGAAGAGACAAGAATGCTTATGGTGGAGGTGTTGCTGTATATATTCAGAGCCATATCCCTGTAATGCTTAGAGAAGATCTTATGTCAAGTGTTATTGAAGTGTTGTGGTTGCAGGTTCACCTTGCACATCTAAAGCTTTTTCTTTTGAGGTGTTGCTATAGGCCACCAAGTGCTAACAGTCAGTATCTAAATAATATGTGTGAAATGCTTGATAGTGTATGTGATGTAAACAGAGAGGTATACTTTCTGGAGGACCTGAATATTGACTGGTTTTCATCAAGCTATCCACTTAAGAGGAAGCTTCTCACTGTAACCAGTGCCTGTAATCTGGTTCAGGTTATTAATCAACCTACCAGGGTGTCTACAAACACAGGAACAAGATCATCCACATGTATTGATCACATTTTTACTAATACTGTAGAACTTCGTTCTAAAGCTGTATCCGTACCCATTGGATGCAGTGATCACAATATAGTGGCTATATCCAGGAAAGTTCCAAAAGCTGGGCCTAAAAAAGTATATAAGAGATCATACAAAATATTTTGCTGTGACTCTTATGTGGATGATGTTACAAATATTTGTTGGTCTGTTGTGATTAATAAGGAGCATCCAGACGCTGCACTTGAGGAATTTATGAAATTGCTTCTTCCAATTACTGATAAACATGCACCTGTTAAGAAAGTGACTGTTAAAACTGTTAACGCTCCATGGATTGATGAGGAAATGAAAAACTGTATGGTTGAAAGAGATGGGGCAAAAGGAGTGGCTAATAAGTCTGGCTGCACATCTGACTGGCTGACGTACTGCAAATTGAGAAGTGAATTGACTAAACTCAACAAAAAGAAGAATACACTTTATTATGAAGCCAAGATCAATGATATAAAGAATTATGGAAAAAAAACTTTGGAGTACTTTAAATGAAATGATGGGCAGAAAGACTCATTCAAATCCATCTTTCATCGAATCAGATGGCTTATTCATCAAAAAACCATTTGATGTTGTCAATTAAATGTATGATTACTTCATTGGCAAAGTGGGAAACCTTAGGCAGGAAATGACAACAACGAACAGTGAGCCATCTTACTCATGCATAAAAAACAAATAATGAAAGAAAGGCATTGTAAGTTTGAATTTTGTACAGTTAGTTTGGGAGAGGTGGAACAATTATTGTTATCAATCAATAATGACAAACCTCCTGGCATTGACAACTTAGCTGACTCTATAGCCACTCCTATCTGTTATATCTTTAATCTGAGCCTAGAGTAAAGTATTTGTCCTCAGACCTGGAGGGAAGCCAAAGTCATTCTGCTACCCAAGAGTGGTAAAGTGTCCTTTACTGGTTCTAACAGCAGACCTATCAGCTTGCTGCCAGCTCTTTGAAAATTGTTTGACCAAATACAATGCTATTTCTCTGTAAACAAATTAACAACAGACTTTCAGCATGCTTATAGAGAAGGGCATTCAACATGTACTGCGCTGACACAAATGACTGATGATTGGTTGAAAGAAATTGATAATAAGAAGATTGTGGGAGCTGCACTGTTCAGTGCAGCCTTTGATATTAATGACCATAACCTGTTCTTGAGAAAACGTATGTGTTGTGGTTTTTCAACCTCTGCCATATTGTGGATTCAGAGCTATCTATCTAATAGAACTCAGAGGGTTTTCTTTAATGGAAGCTTCTCTAATGTCAAATATTTAAAGTGTGGTGTACCGCAGGGCAGCTCTCTAGGCCCTCTACTCTTTTCTATTTTTACCAATGACCTGCCACTGGCATTAAACAAAGCATGTGTGTCCATGTATGATGATGATTCAACCATATATGCATCAGCAACCACAGCTGATGAAGTCACTGAAAGAAAAAGAGTTGCAGTCTGCTTTGGAATCGGTGGTCAGTAATATATTGGTCCTGAACATCTCTAAAACTAAGAGCATTGTATTCGGTTCAAATCATTCCCTAAATTCTAGACCTCAGCTGAATCTGGTAATGAATGGTGTGGCTGTTGAACAAGTTGAGGAGACTAAATTACTTGGTGTTACCTTAGATCGTAAACTGTCATGGTAAAAAAATATAGATTCAATGGTTGTAAAGATGGGGAGAAGTCTGTCCGTAATAAAGCTCTGCTTTTTTGACACCACACTCCACAAAGCAAGTCCTGCAGGCTCTAGTTGTATCTTATCTTGATTATTGTCCAGTCATATGGTCAAGTGCTGCAAAGAAAGACCTAGTTAATCTGCAGCTGGCCCAGAACAGAGTGGCACGTCTTGCTCTTCATTGTAATCAGAGGGCTAATATTAATACTATGCATGCCAGTCTATCTTGGCTGAGAGTTGAGGAAAGACTGACATTTTTTTTGTGGAAAAATGTATGTGTTGGAAATTCCAAATTGTTTGCATAGTCAACTTACACACAGCACTGACACACACATTTACCCCACCAGACATGCCACCAGGATTCCTTTCACAGTCCCCAGGTCCAGAAAAAATTCAAGGAAACAGTATTATACAGAGCCATAAGTGCATGGAACTCCTTTCCATTTTTTATAGCGCAAGTGAACAGCAAACCTGGTTTCAAAAAACAAATAAAGCAACACCTCATGGCACAACACCGCTCCCCCATGTGACCTACTTGTTGTGGGTATGTACTGACATGTATGTGTAACTGATAGATGCACACACACACATACACACACACACACACACACACACATACACACACATACACACACTACATGTTCATGTTTTTAAATATATGTAAATTGTCAAGCCTTTTGTCTGTAATGTCTTTTTCGTTATGTGTCGGACCCCAGTAAGACTGGCTTTCGCCATTGGCGTCGGCTAATGGGGATCCTAATAAATCAAAATCAAAAAACACTTTACTGACAGGCAATAGATCCATTATTTAACCTTCCACCTCTATTTTGTCAGGTGTTTTTTTACTAAATGTACCTGATTATCCAAGAGATTAACCGTTGAGACACTTGAGAAGAGTAAGAGCGCAGAGAACAACCAAAGTTGAAATATTGTATACAGTAAGTAAGACCATGTAATCTCAGAATTTATGGGGATGAAAAAATATATATGTTTAAGTAAAAGACTGTGGTTATACATGATATTCACAGACATCCTTACAACACTCTTGAGTCAAGTCCACAGTCATATCACAACCAAAACGTTCTCTCCCCCTACTCTACCCTCCCCTAACCAACCAGGCTGATTCGGTTACACATTTCCACCGGTGTTATCGTGTGAATCTGGCCTTGTTCAGCACACAGGGAGTAAAACGTGAGTCTGGGAGCAGAAATGTAGCGCTGAAAGCTCTGCTCTGTGTTGGGAGTTGATCTACGACAGGTCTGAGCTGAGTATTCCAGGAATCTAACCCCCTCTTCCTGCTCTAGCTTGCCCCATTAGTCTAGACATATTTCACTGTCACCGTTAACATTACATGACTGGGCAGCCTGGAGAGTACCGGAGACTGTAACACGGGAGCCTAGGGTGTACAAGGTTTCTCTCTGGCAAAGTTATGGTTCGTAAAAACCACCTCGGTCTACTGCTAGTACCTACCAGCCATGGCGCTAGGCTTTAAAGGGAAAAGCATGACAGCAGAAAAAAAGACAAGTAGAGGGAGGTAGAGAGAGATGGAGAGAAACAGAGAGTGTGTGAGAGAGAGATCAGAGAAAAGAGTTTCATTCACAGAATGTGGATCTCTGAGTCTACAGGCTTGCTTCCATTGTATGCGCACAGAGTCACTTTTAGAGGCATCATTCCAGACAAAAGCACACAGAGAGCCCTTTAGAAAACATGCAGTCTAATTTCTCTTTTATTTTTTCCATTCACTTAAGCATCTGATTAAAAGGAAAACAATTTCCTTCTGGTGCCTCCAAGATCAATGTGGCTTATCGCTTCTGAGGCGGCAGCCTGAACAAGCAGCCGAATGAAACAGGCAAATAAATAAATAGTTTTACAGTACGTCACATAATTGGCCCCAAAGCTCTCCATCTGAGTGAATGACTGAGTGTGTGTATGTGTGCACACCTGTTTATGCGCTGTGTGAACAGAATTTAACAGTACAAACACCACATGCTATTCTATGGCTGCCGATGCGGTAAACCATCAAATCAGTTCATTATCCTCATCTCGTCTTCTAGCATATAATACCATAAACATACCCCTTTTTCTAATACTGGATAAGAATGTCTGGTCATTGGACTACATGATAAATGGTGGAGAAGTTACATTCACCTGGCAACATACGGCCCCTGGGCTGAGTAGCTCCTCGTCCGGTTTGATCTTGGAGCGTTTGTGGTGCATGGGGTCCCCAGTGCTGCTCACCGCTGACTCACTAGTGGGTTTGGTCTGTGGGAACAACCACAATAACTTCACTTCAACATACTATATGATAGAATGACCATAAATGATGAGCATAAATTAACATTTACGTTCAATTGTATGATGGCATCCTGTTTAATACTGTTCAAGGGATCTAGTTTATCCTACTAAAAGGAAGCATAATACAGCTTGTTGTCTATTAAATTCGAGGCAATTTATTAAGCCAATGATTTTATACAGGGGTTGTCTATCCGGCTTCACCTTTGGATGACCTGACTCTGGCTTGACTGGTCCTGGCCCTGTTACAAGGCAGGCGAGCCAGAAATAAAACATTAACAAGGAAAGCTGAACTGGCCTGGAAAGATTCCTTGGCTCGTATCTGTGTAACTAGTCTAATAGAACAAATTTAATTGGTAGTATATGAAATGCAAGGTAGTATATGATTCTGGTTGTTTCCCCAGCATTGGACAGAATGGTGGAACGTTTTGTGAATATTGTTTACATAGTTCTCTAACACAACTAGGAACAGCAGAGGGTGAGGAACGTACCAGATGCCATGTTAAAAAAATCCCCCCAAAATTGGAAGGAATAAATAAAGAGGAATAATTGAATATTTGCTTTAAATGCAAGCCCCCACATACATTAGGAATGGAGAGAGATAAAAGGGAACACCGTGGGATCCATCCATCCATGTCAATATTCCAGTTTTAACCCTTGTATTCCTCCTGTGTGATTAATGGTGTCAGTGGTGGGATCCTATGCTAACAAGCCCCTTGTTGTTTCTCACGTGAAACAGAACGTTCCGGAACGACGTTCCCAGTCCAAAACAACACATCCAAGGGACCGCAACTCCCATGAGGCCAGAGCGCGGAGGGGCCTGCTTCTACTTCTTCCTGTCTGAGCCTTGTACCTGTATAGGCTACCCTGGACGCTGCTGGCGCGCGGCTAGAACATGGCAGCGCTATCTATTACCTGTGATGATGAATAGCAGAGGCTTCTGCTGCGGTGGAGGGAGAAGTGTCTCACCTGTGAGGAGTCATTGGAGATGACGGAGCGCTCGCTGGGGGTCAGGCCAAGGGGAGGGATGCCCGGGACAGGACGCTGGGTGGCGAAGGCCGGGGAGGGGTGGATGAGGGGCGGACTGTGGCCGAATGCAGAACCCACCATCCCTGGTTGCCGACCAAGCAGCTGCTGGTGCATCTGAAGTGCCACGGGGGTGGGAGGGTAGGAGAAACTCAAAGCCGGACTGGAGGGAAACAATATCATGATTAGTATTTGGTTGACGAGAAACATACAACAACATACAACAAGGCTTTGTGCAGGTGCTGGATTTTTTTTCAACAACCTTTTCCCATGATCAGTATTTATCAAATGATCAATTACTGTACCTCTATCAAACTACATTCTGATGTATTTGAAATGGCAATTGCAATGGCACCGAGGCAAAATGAGGGAAAAAGAGAAAAAATGTTGGGCTAGCTCCTCATCCCTGAGGACAATTTGACAGGAGTTGTGATGCTGTTGTAACACTGGAGCCACAGGACCCAAGGCAGATCCCTGGCAATGAATGTTCAGCTTGTTAGCACCGTGAATTACTGTTGTGGTCCCTTGCCAGGCCGTCATTGTAAATAAAAATTTGTTCTTAATTGACCTGCCTGGTAAAATCAAGGCTAAAAAAATCAAAAAAATCAAGGTTATACTTAGAGCTGCAAATGTTTTTAACTTTCTCAAAATTCCAAGGTTTTCTGGAAATCCCTGTTTGCGGATTCCCGGAATCAGAAGGATAAGCAGTAAATCTGTGAAAAATGTAGGGAACCTTAGAAATGTGCAACTTTAGTTATACTACATCTCTCCACTGTGTACAAACTCAACAATATAAAGCAGGCCTAGTCTATAACTACAGTCACTTCACATTGCACAGTCTGCATGCTAGCTTTCCCCTACTGTGAAAAGACCTAGATCATTGGTAACCTTCCTTCCCCATAGATCTACATTAAGGCTAGGGTGTTTACATACACCATAGATTAGAACAGAATCCAAACCGCCCACTCTCCTGTATAAGCTCTCTCTATAAACACAGGTAGCACCAGGTAAACACAAGTCTCTATGGTTCAATAGCAGTCACGCGTGGTGGGCCTCCATTCATCCTGCCTCCCTGACGCCTGTTCTCAGCCTCTCAGCCCGGACCCATATGTCTGCTGAGCTTATTACAGGCACTGAGTGGAAATCAATGGGCCGAGACGCATTTGGGGGCCCATCCGCTTGTCATATCACTCATCAGTCTGGGGGCCCTATCATTGGCCCTGTCACATGGGCCACAGTGGCTTGTGATTGATCAGGTTCTCCTTTCAGATCGCTGATCAATGGCTCCGGGTAGGACTATGGATCTCCCTCTCTCTTTTTCTCTCTTTTTCTTTCTCTGTCATTTCGGTGATAGTGTGTATCAGGGGAGTGGTGTTTGGGAGGGTGTGTGGATGACTGACACATGCCGCCGGGTAGGCTGGGTAAATAGGTGGACAAGGCCCACCAGGAGATGGGGCGCAGAGGAGACACACACAAGCACGCGCGCACACACACACAGTAGCCTGGTGCCAAATCTGTTTGTGCTGTATAGCCAACTCCATTGGCTCTAGCCAGCCCTCCTCCCATGTGGTTTGCCTTTCCTTGGGAAACCTCACTAGTCCACCACATCCTAATGCATCCCCCCACCTCCACTAGAACAACATCCCACACAAACATAGGCTCTGCCCCAGGCCCTCCATCCACTCCTTCCCCTTACCCACAGCCCTCCAGAGAGACCGAAGGATGTTGGTCCTTTTTATCGTCCTGTACCTGACTTTCCCAGAATTCCCAAGTTTTCCAGAAATCGCTGAAATCAGGAAGGAATAGGCAGGATATCCGGGAATCATCCAACCAGAATTTCTGGAAAAACTGGGAATTTGGGGAAAGTTACTGGAATTTTGCAAGCCTTATCCCGTACCTGATGGCCCCGGCAGAGAGGTGTCCGTAAGAGCCATTGGTGGAGGAGCTGGAGCGGGAGTTGTTGAGGATGGTGACCAGGGAGTTTGGCGAGCTGCGGATCATGGTCTGCAGGTCGAAGCTGTGCTCCGACAGGGGAGAAATGGGCAGGGCCCGCTTCCGACTGGGCCTCGCCGTCAGCCTGGGGCTGGGGAACCGAGAGCCTGCAGGAGAGGACGGCAATAGAGTAGAGACATTAGACCCAAAGAAGTTGCAGTCCACAGAACCTCTTTGGATAGAAACTTAGTAGGTGAAAGAGAGAGATTAATTAATCTATTGTGTTTAATCATATACTGGTTTTGTATGTTTATTTGTTGGCTTGTCTTATTGGTTTGTCTTATCTTTATGAGTGCTTTTATAGCATTGTAGCCTACTTTTGCTTTAACCACAGGCAAACATAGAGGGGCCATAGAGTGAGCTTCACTGACTAAGACTTACCTAATTCAATCCAATCAACAAACAAAAGGTTATCTCACAAAAAACTATTTTGAATGAAAGTGTGCAATGGATGAACTTCATACAAGACAACACAGGGATGCCTTTTATGTCAAAGCTCTTTACTGACTGGGTTATGGCAATCAAGTATTCAAATGCAGTCAATGTTGAATGGAAATACTATGAGTGGCTTTGAAAAGGTACCAAGCCGCCAACAACACTGCCTCTCTCTATTGCTTTCTCTCTTTCTCTCTCCACACACAATGAGCCGCATGTACAGATTAAGAAATTACTTTTGTTGTATTTTCACTCTGAGATGTCACAAACAAGACAGGGAAAAACAGAGGGAGAAGTAAAGAAGCGGAGGGAGGAGAAAAAACAGAGAAAATACACTGAGGGGATGTTGCGCTTTGTGCGTGAACTGACACAATGACTTTGTGACTCAGACTCGGTAGGGAAAACATTTCAGCTGTTTTTCTTTTCTATTTTGTCGTGGGCAAACAAAACCAGCTTACCCTGTACTCACTCCCTTCTTCCCTGTCTCGCTCCTTCCATCCTTCCCTCCCTCAAATTCAAACGCTCGCTCTCGCCTGACACATCCAGCGATTACGGAGGCCTCCATTCACATGGAAATCAGTTGTATATATGTGTGTGTGTGTCTGCCTGTGTGTGTGTGTGCCTGTGTGTGTGTGTGGTGAAGTTCCTGGCATACGTAGGCCTGTATTTAGAGCATGGAGCTCGAGGAAGAGAGGAGAGAGGAACCTCTCTACATTGTCTCTGCTCTGGCCTCTATAGAAACCTGCCTCTGTCTCTTTGACGTCTCAGAGAGGGGGGTTGGGGACACACACACACACACTCACACATACAAACACACAAATGCCTCCCGCACATACAGTGGGGAGAACAAGTATTTGATACACTGCCGATTTTGCAGGTTTTCCTACTTACAAAGCATGTACAGGACAATAGGCAAGCAGCTTGGTGAGAAGGCAACAACTGTTGGCGCAATTATTAGAAAATGGAAGGAGTTCAAGATGACGGTCAATCACCCTTGGTCTGGGGCTCCATGCAAGATCTCACCTCGTGGGGCATCAATGATCATGAGGAAGGTGAGGGATCAGCCCAGAACTACACGGCAGACCTGGTCAATGACCTGAAGAGAGCTGGGACCACAGTCTCAAAGAAAACCATTAGTAACACACTACGCCGTCATGGATTAAAATCCTGCAGCGCACGCAAGGTCCCCCTGCTCAAGCCAGCGCATGTCCAGGCCCGTCTGAAGTTTGCCAATGACCATCTGGATGATCCAGAGGAGGAATGGGAGAAGGTCATGTGGTCTGATGAGACAAAAATAGAGCTTTTTGGTCTAAACTCCACTCGCCGTGTTTGGAGGAAGAAGAAGGATGAGTACAACCCCAAGAACACCATCCCAACCGTGAAGCATGGAAGTGGAAACATCATTCTTTGGGGATGCTTTTCTGCAAAGGGGACAGGACGACTGCACCGTATTGAGGGGAGGATGGATGGGGCCATGTATCGCGAGATCTTGGCCAACAACCTCCTTCCCTCAGTAAGAGCATTGAAGATGGGTCGTGGCTGGGTCTTCCAGCATGACAACGACCCGAAACACACAGCCAGGGCAACTAAGGAGTGGCTCCGTAAGAAGCATCTCAAGGTCCTAGAGTGGCCTAGCCAGTCTCCAGACCTGAACCCAATAGAAAATCTTTGGAGGGAGCTGAAAGTCCGTATTGCCCAGCGACAGCCCCGAAACCTGAAGGATCTGGAGAAGGTCTGTATGGAGGAGTGGGCCAAAATCCCTGCTGCAGTGTGTGCAAACCTGGTCAAGACCTACAGGAAACTGTATGATCTCTGTAATTGCAAACAAAGGTTTCTGTACCAAATATTAAGTCCTGCTTTTCTGATGTATCAAATACTTATGTCATGCAATAAAATGCAAATTAATTACTTAAAAATCATACAATGTGATTTTCTGGATTTTTGTTTTAGATTCCGTCTCTCACAGTTGATGTGTACCTATGATAAAAATTACAGACCTCTACATGCTTTGTAAGTAGGAAAACCTGCAAAATCGGCAGTGTATCAAATACTTGTTCTCCCCACTGTACATACATGCAATCTCTGACACACAATACATCTCAGGAAATATGTTTGTCACTTGAGGAATTTGTTCCTCGGAAATCCAGCTGTATTCACACAAACACTGCCTCTCGTAAACCTGCGATAACCACACTTCTCAGTCAAACTCCTACCCCCTGGTCGACCTGTGACACGCTCTCACAAACCACATCCCCTGCATCTCTCTGTAACGAACCTCTTAAAAACTACGCCCCTGGTCCACGGGTGAGGGACTGCTTCCACCTGTGGTGAGTTAGGAGGGGGGTGAATGAACTGCAGAGGGGGTAGAGGAGGGGGGCAGTCCCATCACAGCAGGGCCTCCTGGGAGTTGAGTTTATTAATGCTGCAGCCACATGATAAATGGCCCAACCAGGAGGAGAGGAGAGGGAGAGGTAGAAGAGAGGGAGAGGGGAGCGTCGCGGCCCGTAGCGGGGTAGCCGGAGTGTCCCTCTAATTTCCCTGTGATTTATGGATGGGTCGGCTGGTTAGGCACAGCGTCATTAATTCACACGAACGGGACAGGGAGGGACCAGACAGGCTAGACTGACTGACGGCAGTAAAAAATAAACCATGAGCTTGGAGCCCAAAACCCCCAAAATAGGGCCACCTGAGAGGCATCTGGCCCTCTCACAACACCTCTCCTCTCCCCATCTCCTCTCCTCCTCCAAACAATACGCTGGACATATCCTACATGATAAATCATAACCCTAAACTAGCAGCAATATGAAAACTAACACTGCTATACTGTCCAACCACTACCTCAACTGAATTTAATTAAATAAAACACTGTCGTTCTTAGGGTTCAATCGACGGTTGGAAGGATGTGATCTTTTGATCAGTAAGCTTACAATTTCCTCAGGTAAAAAACATGACAAACTATTCTAATGAAAAAATTGCCAAATAGCTAATTATACAGCCAAAATACAGATGTTAGCATAGCGCTAGCTAATTAGAGCGTAAAAACATGTGACAATGGCCCATTAAAGCCCCAAACAGCCAAGACAGCACCATTGTTTCATTAACCAGGCTCTCACCTAAGTTAATTACATTGATGTAGACTGACTGAAACTATGCTAGCTTCGACGCAACTAGGCCCCATTATTAGCCAAAACCTCTTGATATGATAACGCCACACTCTTTATGCCTTTTTTTCTCCTCTAAAATCTATATCTCACAAAGGAAGAGCTTTAAAGTGTTAATTTTCCTGCCGTGTGTGTGGAACACACATTGTTGAAACGCAACGAGTTATTACCGGCAATGATCACAGGCGATTGTGAAGTAGTGAAGAGCTAGCATAGCCGCGGCATCATCTCCCATTTGAAACTGTGGCCCTAATTGTTTTGTTTCACTCTATTAATCTTAAACGTTGACACAGAAGAAAGGATTTCTCCCTGTGATGATGAATGGTGAGACATTCCAATTCCCAGTTAATAGCAATTAATTTTCTGATAGCCGTGCAAGTTTGGCTAGTTTTAATTAGTTTGTTCGGAGGAATAGGGGGGTGACTTCACCCCGGATTTCCATGAAAGCGACGGCTGGCTGACTAAATACCTTCTCATCAAAGGGAGAGGGGTGAGGCTGTCTGACCTTCCCTAAGATTCAGTGTGCCTTTAATTTCCTATTTACACTTTAAAATAACTCATTAGCATAAGTCCTCTGCACAGGCAGTCCTGAGCCCGGCACATTAAGACAATGGCTCATTTAAATTATGTCAGTTTAGAATCGCTTGCTACTCCTTCCTCGTTTGGTAGGATTGTTATTTTGCTCCATTTAAAACAGATTGACGTAGATAGTGCAGGGAGAATATTACACCTATCTGTAATATTCAGACACACACACACACACACACACACATAGCCATTGAATTTGAAAGTTTGGGTCAGTATGTTGAGCTCAGTGCAGTGCAGACTTACTCTCCATGGCCTGTAGATACTCCATGTGCAGGGCGCTGCTGGTGGCTCCGGCCGTGGACGCCACGGAGGGGAGGAGGTCTGTGTAGGGGCTACGGTGGCCCGCCAGAAGAGCCATCTGGTGGTAGTACTCTGCAGTGGTCAGGCCTGTGTGAGGGACTAAGGAAGAGGGGGAGGAGGGAGGAGGTGAAGGGAAGGCAAATAGGATAGGAAGAGAAAGAGGGAGGGAGAGAGCGATAGAGAGAGAGAGAGAGAGAGAGAGAGAGCGATAGAGAGAGAGAGAGAGAGAGAGAGAGAGAGAGAGAGAGAGAGAGCGAGCGAGGGAGAGGGGAGGGGAGAGACATGCATGTTAGGTGAGATAATGACACCGTAAGAGAGGCCTGCAACACCTACCACAAAACACCTGCAAATACATGATACTTACAGTAGATGAACACTCAGCACATCTGTAATGTATTGTAATGTAATGAGCACATTAGCAACACCATCATGTATATAGTGGAACAGAACTGATGTATGAGGAGCATGATCTGCATTCCAAAGTGCACTATATAGGGAATGGGGTGCCATTTGGAACGCAGACATGCTTTGAGGTAGTGTACTAGGTCCCAGATGGGATTTCAAGCTGCTTACTCAGAGTTTACAGTACTGTATGTCTTGGTTTTAAACAGAATTGTTCATTCATGCAGGTATGCATATCATATCTCATTCGATGTTGTTTTGCCAATGGGTAAGTCTAGGTGTGTGTGTGTGTGTGTGTGTGTGTGTGTGTGTGTGTGTGTGTGTGTGTGTGTGTGTGTGTGTGTGTTGTGGGTTCATTCCACGGGGGGCCAGTATGAAAATGTATACACTCACTAACTGTAAGTCGCTCTGGATAAGAGCGTCTGCTAAATTAGTAAAATGTAAAATGTAAATGTGTCTGCTGTGTGTTATGGAGCATAGCAGGGCTGCAGGGTGCAGATACTCAACCTGCTCTTTCACTCTGTTCCTTAAAACTCCATGAGAAACAAAAGGCCCAAATCTGCCCAGATCTGCATGCATAAAGAAACAGCAACACGTTCTGAATCTGCCCCCTCTCCATCTCCCTCCCTCTCTCTCTCTCCTCCACTCCCCCGCTCTCTCTCTCTCCCCCTCTGAGTCTGCCTCACTTTCCAACCTCTTCCCTTAGTTATAGAGAGCTAGTCCTTGAACCGTATCCTAAAAATAAACATCTGGCATCGTGCTTCCATATGTAAATATCCCAACCAAGAAAAGGCTAGAAAGAGGGGGAGAGAAGAGAGAGAATAAAAGACTGACACTGTGGTTTTGGATGCAAATATGAAATCAGTTTAGCCCACAAAGTGTTACAGCTAATTCCTCTATTTTTCTTCCCATTTTAAAGAAAGAAGAGAAGAAATAAATAAAAAAATTAAACGCGGGATGAAAAGATCTCCTCAGAAGGCTGGCCTGTATGCCTGGCAATATGCATCTCTGATTGGTTCACTGGATGGAAGAAGAAATTCCCAAATTAATTCGGTTTGGGTATTATGTCTTAAGTGGAGGGGGGAGTTTCTTAATTGTCTTCGTTTTTCCGCTTTAGCTTTGCTTCTGCGTTCAACTGTAATGTGCCTCATTCTCTATTCGTGCGCAGAAAGGGCTTTGCAGAATTTCCTGGCATGGCTAGTGCCATCCTGGGGGCAAGTGGGGTGGGGGGGATTGGGGACTTGTGTGGCATTTGACGTGGAGGAGAAGCAGCTCAGTGTGCCTCAGGAGTTAGTGGTTGGTGGTGTCACAGGGCCCTCCTTAAGAGCAACAATGGGATGAGAGGTGCAAGTACAGTCACTATCACCACCAGTGTGAGAAGAAGAGGAGTGAGAGGGTGAGAGAGAGTGATGGTGGGAGGCAGAGAGAGGTAGAGCAGCCAGAGAGAGCGAGAGCGCAAGGGAGGTAGAGGAAAAAAGAGAGCAAGAGATAGGTGGTACTAAATCCCACCCACTTCAAATCTTCCACCAATTCTGCTAATTAATTAATCATTATTCAAATGTACTTCCAGTAAAAAGAAAAATCTGTGCAGACTGAAAAAGGAAAAAACCTATAAGCACGACAATATACTAACAACATAAAGGCTGATAGGTTAATTAACTGTTTGATTGATTAAAATAGTAATGATTTGCCTCATTTCACACTTTTACAGTATGAGCTATAAGTTGATGTAGCACAAAAAGCATTTTGATGTAAAGCAACGCTAGTAGAGAATTTCCTTTGTAAAGAGAAACTAGAACAAAAAAAGTGCACACTTTGTGTTAAAGCACAGAGCGCAATGCATGTTGAGAGGAGGAGTGATTGAGAGTGGGAGACTGGGATGAGAAGAGGCTCTCAGTTCCTGCATAGAGGAAGTGCCCCCATTCTATCCAACTCTTCACAAAGGCACTTGAGGACAAGGTAGGAGACCAGCACGGCTCTAATATAACCTCTAGTTCAGAGGTGAACTGAGGGACTTAGTTGGAGACTCTGTCATGTCTCAAATGGCAGCCTATTCCATATGCAGTGCACTACATTTGACCAGAGCCTTATTGGTCAAAGTAGCACAAAAGGTATACAGGGATTAGGGAATTTGGGGCACACACTATAAGGGCTACAGCAACAAAATAGTCATAGCTGACTGCACCCGTGACAGTTACCAAGCCACATGAGCTGAACACCACAAAATTGTTTTGTTTTTGTATAGTATCAATGTCATAACAATGTGGTCGTATCATTCTGTTCAACTACCTCAAATACAATCACCTCAACTTTTCCTTGAGCAGAATGGAACACAGCCAGCCACAGCTCAATCCAGCTGTGATTACCAACACCCCCTGGGAGAGGAAGGGGAGGCTGGCCATGTTCAGTAATTGAGCTCCAGGCTTCAATTAAAGGTCCAGGCCAGGAGGCTGGAGCGGAGCAGCACTGCTGAGGCTGTTTAAAAGCAGACGCACTACAGACTGTAATTGATTTCCCAGTCTGTATCTATCACTGGAACCAAAATGCTCCCTGCAGGACACCATGTCTGCATCCGAAATGGCACCATATTCCCTATGTAGTGCACTACTTTTGACCAGAGCCCTAGTGCCATTTGGGACGCAACCCATTTGCACCCCTGTTAACCCTACCCTCCCTGGTCCTCCACTCCTCTGCCCCCCCGACCCTGGCCTTGAACCTGAGCCACCCTCTACTTCTGTCTGTACTGTACATGATGCAACCTCCAGAGGTCCACTGATCCACAGATCAAAGAGAATAACCTCCCTCAAACCTCCCCCTACGCACACACACTCACGCATGCAGTCACACGCTGCACGCGCTGCACACACACTAAAATAAAGTCACATGCGCACATGCCAGACAGACACATGCACACAGTTCAAATAAATGAATGAGGTCACCTCTGTCATGACCTTTGTTTGACATGAAGCACCTCATTATAAGGCTCAAACTTAAACTGATCCTCACTGTACACTCTTAATAGCTGAACCTATTGATCACCAACACAGTAGACATTTTTTCTGCAAACCTTAGGGCCCTTAGGGACTCTGGGGGCCAGGTCTGTGTGGTACTGTACAACATTGCATTGTTTTAAGTACAGCTACAGTGAGGGAAAAAAGTATTTGATCCCCTGCTGATTTTGTACGTTTGCCCACTGACAAAGAAATGATCAGTCTATCATTTTAATGGTAGGTTTATTTGAACAGTGAGAGACAGAATAACAACAAAAACATCCAGAAAAACGCATGTCAAAAATGTTATAAATTGATTTGCATTTTAATGAGGGAAATAAGTATTTGACCCCCTCTCAATCAGAAACATTTCTGGCTCCCATGTGTCTTTTATACAGGTAACGAGCTGAGATTAGGAGCACACTCTTAAAGGGAGTGCTCCTAATCTCAGCTTGTTACCTGTATAAAAGACACCTGTCCACAGAAGCAATCAATCAATCAGATACCAAACTCCACCATGGCCAAGACCAAAGAGCTCTCCAAGGATGTCAGGGACAAGATTGTAGACCTACACAAGGCTGGAATGGGCTACAAGACCATCGCCAAGCAGCTTGGTGAGAAGGTGACAACAGCGATTATTCGCAAAATGGAAGAAACACAAAAGAACTGTCAATCTCCCTCGGCCTGGGGCTCCGTGCAAGATCTCACCTCGTGGAGTTGCAATGATCATTAGAACGGTGAGGAATCAGCCCAGAACTACATGGGAGGATCTTGTCAATGATCTCAAGGCAGCTGGGACCATAGTCACCAAGAAAACAATTGGCAACACACTACGCCGTGAAGGACTGAAATCCTGCAGTGCCCGCAAGGTCCCCCTGCTCAAGAAAGCACATATACAGGCCCGTCTGAAGTTTGCCAATGAACATCTGAATGATTCAGAGGAGAACTGGGTGAAAGTGTTGTGGTCAGATGAGACCAAAATCGAGCTCTTTGGCATCAACTCAACTCGCCGTGTTTGGAGGAGGAGGAATGCTGCCTATGACCCCAAGAACACCATCCCCACCGTCAAACATGGAGGTGGAAACATTATGCTTTGGGAGTGTTTTTCTGCTAAGGGGACAGGACAACTTCACCGCATCAAAGGGACGATGGACGGGGCCATGTACCGTCAAATCTTGGGTGAGAACCTCCTTCCCTCAGCCAGGGCATTGAAAATGGGTCGTTGATGGGTATTCCAGCATGACAATGACCCAAAACACACGGCCAAGGCAACAAAGGAGTGGCTCAAGAAGAAGCACATTAAGGTCCTGGAGTGGCCTAGCCAGTCTCCAGACCTTAATCCCATAGAAAATCTGTGGAGGGAGCTGAAGGTTCAAGTTGCCAAACGTCAGACTCGAAACCTTAATGACTTGGAGAAGATCTGCAAAGAGGAGTGGGACAAAATCCCTCCTGAGATGTGTGCAAACCTGGTGGCCAACTACAAGAAATGTCTGACCTCTGTGATTGCCAACAAGGGTTTTGCCACCAAGTACTAAGTCATGTTTTGCAGAGGGGTCAAATACTTATTTCCCTCATTAAAATGCTAATCAATTTATAACATTTTTGACATGCGTTTTTCTGGATTTTTTTTATTTCTTCTGTCTCTCACTGTTCAAATAAACCTACCATTAAAATTATAGACTGATCATGTCTTTGTCAGTGGGCAAACGTACAAAATCAGCAGGGGATCAAATACTTTTTTCCCTCACTGTAGCTAGTGCTGGGATTTATAGTCAAGTGAAAGATAGATTACAGAAAAGTATGTAGTATGTTTATCTGAATCAACTGATATTGTGGGACTCTGTATGCCTTAGCATAATGCATGTCTGTATGGGGGCTCATGAGAGGAAGAGAGTCTGCCTCCCAAATGGCACCCTATTCCCTATATAGTGCACTACTTTTGCAGGGCCTGGCACCCTATTCC